GATCCAAGAATTTAAAACTTTCTTGTCATAGGTTAGTTTATTTACAAAACAAACCCTGCCAGGAGCGTAGAAACTGAATAAATAAATGAATTCACTTAAATTTTAGATTTAAAGAGCCAGATTCTACATCATCTGGAACACTAACTGACAAGGTTAGTATTTTGTTATACCTATATATTTATATATATTAAATATAATTTTTACATAGGATTGCAAAACACAATAAAAAATGTACAATTTAATATTTTTATTTATCCCTAAAAACAGAACGCCACTGGTGTGGGAACTTGTTTATAAATACCCCTTACCCCTTTACCCCTAATCTAAATAGTTCTTGGCAACAAAACATTGTGTATTTTCAATAGGAAAGGCCAGTCCATCTTGTTTGTAGGTCTGTGCAAATTAACCTTAGTCCTTTGAGTCACCAAATTTGGGACTCCTGTATAATTTTTAATTTTTTTACATAGCAGGGTATTTAGAAGTTAGAGAAAATTGCTCAAAAACACTGCAACTGGAGCTTTTTACATTTTATTCCTAATTTAATACGGGGTGAACATTTTTATATCTGAAATCGTTTTATCAAAAGAAAGCAATCAAAACACCCTGTATTTATCAATATTCGTAGGGTTTTAAAATATCATTTAAAATAAAATATTAATTATTATATCGTTAATTTTATTGTTAAAAGTAGATAGATATTTTAAATCAGTCAAGTTTACTGGTTTTTTCTATAAAAAATCGGTTTAGGAGTTAATAAATCAAAAATATACACAGGGGTTCTTTTTATATTTCTTATAAAATAACATCACTAATTTAATAAATATTGTATTATAATTTGGTTAAAAATATTATCCAAAAATAGTCTTCAATATTTGAAGTAATATTACTAAAAATAAAACAAAACATTCCCCTTTTTAATATATAAAATAATATACAGGGCATTAAATAGGAACCAATAATAATGTTTACAAAGGTCAAAAAACAAATTTTACCTTGAATTAAATTGTTATACCTACATAGAATTTAGTATACATATTTTGTATAATGTATGTAAATTTTAGAGTATTTTCCTAAATACTTTTTAGAAAAAAAAAATAATAAAACGCTTAAAAATGTATACATACAACTTTACCTTACAATTAGTTATAGATCTGACTGTAATCCTTTAAAACGTACCTACAGGGTGTTTCAAGAACACATTTTGTTGTTTTTAATACACCCTGTATGTAATAATATGTCCAATGGTTCTGTATATTTACAAACTTAAATTTAATATGTTAAACCTTACCCACTTACTTATATCGAACTTGTATTATAATTATTTTAATCTATACCTACCTTCAAACTGTATTTATTAATACCACTTGTTTTATTTAAAATAAAAACTAATACAAAAATTTGGTTTAACAGTTTTTTTTATCCTGCTTCATTAAAATTATCAAGTTTTGTTCTACAGGCGACAATTTTTGAAAAAAAATTATCTCAATTAAATTGAAGCCAAAAACGAAGTGCAGTTGCCATGTTAAGCAAAAATGTTTTATCTGCAATATTTAATATTGTAGATAAGTCATTTATGCTTAAAAGTGCAACTACACTCATTCCAAGGTACCAAAATACCGAATTTATGTTCTTTGTACATTTGTTCGAATGTGGGTAGGCAACCCAGATTACAAATCTATCAACGCTTTTAATAATGCATAACGCTGTTTGAATTTAAACGACTTCTTTGTTTCTAACATACGCGTTTGACAGCTGATTATTAAAAGACAATTTGACAAGTTGTCAAAATTGTGATAACCGTATTTAAAATGAACAAAAAAATATTTGGATATGAAATATCGGAAATTTTATTATTTGGTATTTTATGTTACGTTGCAGCAGTTATATTAAGTAAGTATATTTTATATGAACAAAATTCAAAATATCGAAAAAAAACTTTTGTTTTCCTATTTTAGTAGTGGTTATAAGATACTGTATACTCAAAAAACTAATTTGCGAAAATTCAAGCATATTTCTGCATTGTAAAGTTTATGGACCCTGTTTAAAAAAATGCCAAAACTGTGGCATGTTCCAATCTGAAAGGAATGTATTTTGCTGTAAGAGAAAGCATAGTGTATATGTAAGAATTTTTAGAATCTAGAAAACAATATAAGAAAATTTTGATTTTAGAATAACAAATTTTTCGTTTTTCCAAAATGTACTTTACGCTGTTTTAAACCTAACTGCGATTTACTAAGGTTATGTTGCTGTGAGTTTTATATAGAAAATGAAGTTGATGATACAAAAATATACCCTGTAGATATGGACGTAATAAACATTCAAAAAACATAGAGAATTGCTTTTTAAAAATTGATTTATTGAACAGTTTTTATTCTAATCTGTCTAAATATCCAACAAACAATATTAAATATTTTTACATTTTTAAATTCTACATAAAATTTTGAGTAAAATTACTGTACCATGAGTAAATAGTTTTGGAGTTATTAATTTTTTCCGTTAAAATATGACAAATGCGCGTCAATCAAAAATAGCCTATAACTTTCTTGCTATTAGGTTTGCAGAAATTGGGGTGGAATTTTTGTAATCTTAAAACATTGTTTAAAATATTCCATGTTAACTTCTTAACATACCGGGTGTTACATTTAAAATATAAAAGTTATTAACGTTTCAAGTTAGCCCAATTTGCCCTGGGTTTTCTCGGGTAATTTGTTAAAATATGTTAGTTAAAGAATTGACATGGAATTTTTTAAACAATGTTTTAAGATTCCAAACATTTTACCCCCATATCCGTAAACCTAATAGCAAACATCTAGAAACCTATTCACTTTAGGTATAGGACATGGTATAGTAATTTTACTCAGAATTTTATGTAAAATTTAAAAATGTAAAAATATATGGGGTGTTCTATTTGAAATAACAAAGTTGAAGTCACTTCCGGTCAAACCGGAAGTTATATTTTGTTTAAAATATAAAAAAATAGACTTAATGGATTATAAACCCATTTAAATTTCAAATCTATATTTTTTACGTTCTCCAGAAACTTCCAATGGACCACGAATGTGAAACACCCTGTATATCAAGTGGCGTTTTTAGATTGTGATACCACTATATATTTAATATAAGATAAATACAAATCTGTTGTTTTATTAAAAAAATCGAAAATTAAATCCAGAAATATTTTTTTTATTTAAAAAAAAAACCTTTATTTTTAAAATCTGTTAAAATTTCTCATGGGAGAAAAATCGTGTTGTGCTGTGTAATTTACCACCTGAAATTAAATACTGTATGGCACGCCGTTTTACTTTTTAATGACATCAAAAAATTATCTCAAAACAAAAATTATCAAAATTAAAAATTGCCTAGAAAATATAAACGTTTATAAAAATTACTAAATTAAATTTAATTATAAATTAAAATCTACCAATTTATTTTTTGATGTATTGGATAAGTTTCCATATACGAGTATATTTACATCATTCTGGTTTGATCTATATTTTTAAGCCTCAGTTTTTATTGTATGAATATTTTTTTTCTATTTAAAAAGGTGCTTTTATGTAAATAATAATATTTAATTTATTAATTTAAAATTAACTTAAAGTAGAATATTTATTTAAATTTGTAAGCGCAAGGCGAATTTTCTCGATGAAAAATTCGATGAATTAAAATGTTGGTTAACACTCGTAAACAGAATTTTAATTTGGCGCTAGTGCATAGTGCGGTTGTGTTACGTACTACTACAACGAAGCGAAACCACATAACGTCGAAGGTACATACACAATCCACATTGTGGGTACATGAGCATGTCGATATACATTTAATGTATTACATTATTGATGGCACTGAAAATTTTGGACTGCACTGTTGCCCAATTTATTTTCGAGCTTATGTACCTTAGACGTTATGTGATTTCCATAGAAATAATACTCCTATTACTCCTATTATTTCTATGGTGATTTCGTTTGGCGGCAGTAGTACGTAACACAACCGCACTATGCACTAGCGCCAAATTAAAATTCTGTTAACCAAAATTTTAATTCAGCGAATTTTTCAGTCAGAAAATTCGAGGTACATAATATTTATTCCAAACAATAAAAATAAGGAATTATTATTTTGTCACATACAAGTAGCATTGAATTAATTATCTAAAAAAATAATCGGATTAAAAGAAATATGGCAGAAAGATTTTTAAATGAAAATTCGTATTGCTAGATTTAAATAACATAATAATTAATAACAACTATACCACAACTTTATTCCCGTATAAAAATTGTTTCAAAGTGTTTTAAAGAACAAAATAATTCGTATTAAAAGTAAATATTAAAATTTTTAAAAATAACAATAAAAATAAAATTGTATTCAATTTTTATTAGTCAAATTAAATTTTCAGTAATATTAAAAACATTTAAATATTAAAACAAATATTTCGTGCAAAATATTTGTGTGTCGAATTAGAAACTTTATCACTTTAATTTCTAACAGGTAAATTGATTTTTATGTCGACGAGTAATAATAGAAAATAATTGCGACATAATGATAATTTCAGTATTACTTTTTCGCGCACCTTGAATTAACTGGCGAAGAAATTCGATGAATTAAAATTTTGGACCAATTTGACTGCGTGTTTCTCAAGTAACCCCTTATTAAAATTATCTCAACCCAAATTTTAATTCATCGATTTTTTTAGTCAGAAAATACGCCATTCAGTCCCAGAATTAAAATTACTTCAATTCTTATTCTGTGCTTAAAATTGTGTACTTAATATAGGTACCAAGACATGTTCAGTCAATTTTTAAAAACGCAACTTGAATTAATATTTAGCTTTAATTAACATGGCATTAAAAAGTAAAACGGCGTGCCATAATACTGTGATAACTTCATTCATTTTAAAAACTAAATAAATATATTATTATTATTAACGGTTAATTTAAAAAATGCAAACTTTGAGTTCTGTCAAATTTGCTCGTCAAGCGTTGCACACTAGATAAAAAACACTAAATTATCCTTGCTATTTATTTATTAAAATTCATTTAATTACATAAAAAATGTTGCTTCACAAAATTAAGTTTATATATGTACATAATAACTAATTACTACCTTTTGTGAAAAGTCACTTTGAAACCTTCTGTACTTCTCAAAAGTAGGTTACATTTTAGATCAACTTCCTCAATATTTTTGTAACCACAAGAAATTTGGTATTTTCTTACGACGTTTGCCACCACTGTTTTCATGGCCATCATTGCATACTTAGGCCCTGTGTAAATTTGAATTTGATTATTTAAGGAGATTCATTATAAAATGTTATAAAAACCTGCACAATTTCGGGGCCCCCAAGAAAACGGTAAATACGACCCTGGAACAATTTTTTTCGCATTTTCGGGTAAAAATCTGTCAGGGTCAAACTTCATAGGGTCATTCCAGTATTCAGGATTCCTATGGACCTTAATAACACCAACGACGATTGAACAACCAGATGGTAGAGTTACGTCTCCTGAAAATGTTTTAATACTTTTTTTATCTCCACGCGGTCTATAATTTAAACTTTATTTTTGTCAACATTCGATAAATATAATATTTTTCATTAAATTATTGTAAAATTAAATATGAATAATAAAACAAAAAGTGAGGTTAGGCAACCAAGAAAACGCACGATTCTTTTTCTACGATTTAAATTATCTTTAAGTTTTAATTTTTCTTTAAGTTTTCAGTGAAATTAAATGTTAAACACAGCTCAAACATTCCAAACTAAATATTTTTTAAATAAAAATCCAAACAAATTGAAATTAGATATCTACCTATTTATTAAACAATTAATTGAATTCAATGTAATAGCAAAAATCCATTTCTACTTAAATTATGTAGCTAGGTATTGTCAAACTATTACTGCTTCTAAAAGCAATAATAATTATAATTATTGTACATTTAATGTAATCTTTAGCTAATAAATAAATGAGATTCTAAAAAAGTGAGGTTAGGCCGCTTTGATGTTGAACTAAATTGACCTACATAAAGTGCTTTGAAGATAAAATGTTGTATGCCATTCGGCCAAGAAGTGCCTTTTTGTGCTTCGCTCAATTGTAGGCCTCTGCTATGCGTCGGCCTTCAAACCTTGAGCTTAGCACAAAAAGCCTCACTTCTTAACCTAATGACATAAATAACTATTGTCAGTGAAAAAGTTTTATGTACCTAAATCCAGATCATCAGTTAATTCCCTTGCTATAGCCGGCGCAGGGGCAAAAAATCTTTGAGTTTCCTTTAAAACACACTCTGCATATTTTAGTTTGGGCAAGTCCTTGCTTTCCACACTACCAGTGTACCCAATAACATCCACAACTTCTTCGTATATTTTTTGCTGCAAAGTAAGATTTAATCGGCATATTAATATTTTTTTTCCTCCCAACTTTACTGTGTGTTTTAAGGGGAAGTAAATTTTCAAATTTACCGTTTTATAGTATACTATACTAAACACCAAATTAACACCATACATGGTCTATATCGATACAAACCAAAATGGTGTTAAATATGGTTTGTTGGTCCGGTGTAAATTCAAATACTAAAATAGTGTTAATTTAACTTTCACACAGTATTAAAATAAATTTTACCTGGTGTAAATTGAACTCCTTTTCAGTGTTAAATATTAAGTGTTTTTGGTCAAATTAAATCATACTACACAGAAAAAAAGGAAAAAAAATACTTCAAGTATTGACAGCTGTTTCCACCTATTTAAGGTCTCTTAAGTATCGAACAACTTGCAGTGTCACACCAAAGCAAAGGACTACCTGAGCTTATATACTCTTCATGTAAGTCAACAGAGGCGAGATTTAAGAACATCACGTGATCCACACCGCCTTTGCCGCGATCAGTACACACTATGCAACCGGGAATGCACGGCAAATTGTTTTAATCGTTTTAACAAAGTGCTTTAGGTTGAAGTAACTCTTATTTTACAAACAACATATTTAGTAAACTGAACCATACAGCGGGTTGGTTTCACTAAAGTTTTCTGGGTTAAATTAACCAATTTAAAAAAAATAAAAGAACTATCTGGTTTAGAACCGTTTCTTTGTTTATATTAACCTTCCCACAGTTGATAAAATTAAAAAAAAATACAAAAATAAATACTAAATTCATATAGTTAAATGAACTATTCCTTTTTTCTGTGTAGGTGCACTTCTTAAATATTTTTGGTGTTTGCTGTATATAAAATTTTCAACCATAACTCATGGTGTTATATTAACACCACTTGGTGTTGGATTTTGACACCATTTTAAGATTACTCTTTACACCACAGATATACAGATAAACAGTGTAGTATAAAAAAAGGAAGCTTTTTTAATAAAAAAAACGTATAGAAAATGGAGGAAACCGATGAAAATTACGTTCCTGAGGATATCCTTACGGAAGCGGAAGAAGCAGCGATGCAGATTTTGCCAGAAAAGTCCCGAGATGCTTACGACGAGGAGTTCAAAATGTTTGAGTCTAGGATGAATTCACGGAAGATAAAAGGTATCGATGAACATGTTCTTTTGGTTTATTTTTTTACATTTGCAAAAAAAATAGCCCCATCGTCGCTATGGACCAAATACTCGATGCTTCGCTCGACTATTCACCTTTATAAAAAAATCGACATTTCAAAATATGGCAAACTAACGATATTTTTGAAAAGCAAATCACAGGGATGCAAACCAAAGAAGTCCAAGACATTAGAACGACCTGAAGTTTTTGACGACGAGTACCTGTTGATGGAAGTGGCTTTGATAATGGGATTAGCGGTGCTTGTAGATGCGATGAATTGGTCAATTTGAAAATAGAAAATATTCCAGACAAAGGGAAATATTTTCACGTAGTTTTGCCAGACACTAAAACCAAGAAATTGAGAAGTTTCACCAAAATTGAAGAAGGATTTCCAGTGAACCCGATCAATTTGTGTAAAATGTCTTTGAGACCAAAGAATACTAGTGCTAGCCGCTTTTTTGTTTTTTATAAAAAATATATACAAAGTATACAAAAATGGGAGGTGTACCAGCCAGTTTGTGGGAATAAATACGTTGTCGAAGATACCTTCAAGAATTGCAATGTTTTTGAAATTGGAGGAACCAGCGCTCTACACAGGTCACTGCCTGAGAAGGTCTTCGGCGACTCTTTTGGCCAATGCAGGGGCTAACATGACTACTTTGAAGCGTCACGGAGGATGGAAGTCCTCGACGGTAGCACAAGGATACCTAGAAGAATCGGTGCATAACAAAATACAAATTGCAGAAAAAATACAGGGTTCTAATGCGTCGGCGTCTTCCAGCACTATCAGCAGCTGTACCGATATGGGAGCGTCTGGTTCCAATTAATGAAACAACGAATTTTACAATGACTTCAAATTCGAATAAACCGTTTGAGTTTTTCTTTAATTTCAATATCAATGTGAATTCTGCTTGTAATGGTCATAAATAAATAGAATACTACTTTAAATATGAACGTGAGTTATATCCATAACTCACTAGTTCCAGTGGCGGCTCGTCAGGGTAGGCCTCTGAGGCCGCGCCTCACCCTTAAAATGAAGGAACGAACGACTTTTTGTATTTATATTTTTGCCTATTACAAGTGTTTTTTACAACAGTTCTACCCAATAAAAAGTAAAAAACCAATCAATCATATTAAGCGTAAATAAAAATCCAGGCGCAAAGCGCGTCAAGTTAATGTGCATCGTTGAGAGTCGCTTGGACAGAGGCGAAATTTTCACAGCCTCGGAAGCTCCCATTTACCTCTTGAAAGCGAAAATGACTCACCAACAAAAATATCGCCGTAAGTTCGCGAATAAACACCGTAGATGAGGCGAAATTTAGTTAGCTTGGTTTGTTCTGATTGGTGGTCCGTTTATGGTGGGATGCCAGCGGAGACAAAGAAGGTTGCCAGTCTTCTCTTACCGTTTGTAGAGCACGTTATTGTTTTGATTCAGATTAAATTATTTAAAACTTTTGGCTGATCTTTTATAGTTTTTGTCTCGATTAGTAAAATGTCTTATTTAATTATTGTAGGGAACACACTAAGGTAGATTTAGCAGTTTTTATATTTTATATTTTGAAATAATAGATTGCATAATTCTTCAATTAGAGACGCGGTTTGAAAATTTAGAATTACTTTTAAATCTCACCGCAGACCCACAATTTTACGACCAAATAATAGATAAATTTTCAATCTTAAAAGATAGACGTATAGTATTTTATATTTTTTAATACTTAGGTAGGGGTCGACTTTTTAGTTTTATTTTTATTTTTTGATTAATTTATTTACTTTTAACTTTTTTAAGACTATATTTTTAGTTTAAGATTAAAACTAGTCTTTGATGTGATATTTTGTTTGTTTTGTTTTTTAGAGTTTATTTTTTGGTTTAGTAGTGCTATCGGCTCCATTTTAAAAAAGGTCAACGCGTCGCAGAATAATACCTCCCGGGTGACGTGGAAATTTATTCGTATTTAGACAAAATTAACCTTATGTAGCCTCACCCTCCTGTACACCCACGAGCCGCCACTGACTAGTTCTTAAGTAAAGATAGTTTCTGATTTAAATATTCAAAAGCGCAAAGTGATTTTTATTTCTTTTAAGATATTACTTTTTTCAGTGTATTGGTAAACTTACTTGGATTTCTGGATATATCCCTAGCACCATAAATGTAAAACAAAGTGATGTAGCTGTCGTGTCTGTACCCTAAAACAAACATTGTACAACAAGTTTACATTTTTTTATTTTTTTTTTCCTTACAGCAACCATAAATATGTCAACTTCCTCTCTAATCTCTTGCTCAGTAAGCATTGAGTCCTTTTGGTTGTAGGCTATATCTATTAGGTAATCCAAAAAGGCTTTTCTGTTACCGGTTACTAAAAAAAATTGTTTAAAATAATTTTGACCAATTTCTTTTCAGTTTCTAAATTTAGCATAACCAATACAATTTTATACAGGATGGTCAAATTTAAAAAAAATATTTCTTTGCATAAATTCTAGCAAAAATCTTGAAAGAACATTCTGCCATTTCTTAAGGTATTACACGTACCTTCGACTTCAGATTCGGTGCGGTCATCAATATCCTCCATTTTGTTTTTATAGGCCGTTATTTTATCTTTAACAACCTAAAAATGTAAATACAATAATTATTGACATTCCTAATGGTTAATTTTAAAAACTGTATTGTTTAATAGCATATTATGTTTCAAGTTTGATAAACGCCATTTTATACACGAATTTAATTTAGTGCTTAAATTAATGAGTGTATAGAAAAGTTTATAAACGAGGTGCATACTATACTTTTTCTACGACAAATACTTATTATTATCTTTAAGTAATTTAAATCAAAAATTTGTATAAAGCGCCATCTATGAAACAATAGGGGAATCTGTGTGTCACCGTCAAATGTCAAATTTTATAAACACAGATTATAAAGGTTATAAATCGAAATGTATTTCTTGAAAATTGACAGTTTTCACAGTGAAAGTAAAGAAAATGCTTTATGAGCACTTTACAGTGAAGTCCGTGCCCGAATTTAAGTTATAGTTTACTGCCGGCGAAATTAAAAGGTCAGTGCAATGTTCATATAAACTTTTCAAATATTGGCGTTGAGAAACTATTTAATATTCTTGTATTTTTGTATTGAGATAATAAAATAATGTTCACATTTAGTATTATTTTACAAGAAAGGCACATTATTTTAACGATTGTATGACATTTGACAACTGTCAACTAACTTAAAACTAACTTCAGCCCGTGACTAAAAACCTGTTGCTAACTTCAGCCTGTGACTAAAGCGCCATAAAGCCACAACTTGTCAATGTGTATTTAAAAGGTCACTTAGTGTCATGGAAACATGTACGATAAAAGGCGTTTTAAAGGTGGGAGTAGAAAAAAATATTTAAATATTACCTTCCCAGTAAATGCATGAAATTTATGATTAATATCATCATATTCCTTTTTTAATGGCGTAAAATTAAAAATAAAATCGAAATGATACCATACGTTCAACATTCTAAACATTGTTATCTCCATTGCCCTAAAATTATTAATTTTTTGTTAGTTAGGAATCTTATGGTATGGAGAAAAAAACTTATTACCTATCTATCCATTTTCCAAATACTGAATCTGTTGTTTGGGCATTTACTTTAATGCCCATTGCAGTTTCTAAAACAAAATAAAAATATATTTGTACACATAGATCTGGGAGCTTTTTTCAAAATTTAACAATTTGTTAGAATATACTCTCTGCGTACACTGAAAAAAAAAATCATGTAAATTTACGGTAATGGAGATTGGTTATTTTGATGCCTTGTTGATAACTGAAATACTCCATTTCATTATTATTTTACATGTAAAATGTAATAGCATAATTGACGTATAACTCATTTATATTTTTTTATGTAAAATAACATTTTTAATGTAATATGTTTTTTATTTGAAATGTATTTATACATGACAACATTAACATGCCGATGCGTTGGCAAGCAAGCGCGAATTCCCAGCCAATAGGCTTCTTCTCCGGTTACATATTAAATGTAATTTTGCGATTTTTACTACACTCCGAATGTAAAAAAAACATTTAAACCTGTAATATTAAGACTAATAAAGTATATTTACATTTGAAATAATGCAGTAAGACGTTATAATTGTATTTTTTACACTTAGTTCGTTAAATTTACTTGTTGTATCAATAATTAATACATAACATTAGTAATTTTACAAACAAAAATGTTTATTTACTTGAAATATATAAAAATTAGACGAAAATAAAGGTAATTTTACAATTTGTCGTAAAAATTAGGAATTTACCTATATGGTAATAATCCTGTAACTTTACATTTAAATGTAATAATTTTTTTCAGTGTGTATTCAACCTATAGGTTGAATATACGCAGAGAAAAATTGTTGGATTTGGTTTAATAATTATTAATTATAATTGTATGAATTTATTCAACAAATTGGTTCTAAAAAGGTGACAGGAACAATTTGTGCTAAATTGCAAATAATTATTACATATATGTTTATAAACTTACATAATTTATTTGACATTTGAACAAATTTTAATCTATAGATTAAAATCGGCTCATATAATTTGTGTAAGTAAATGAGTATTTTAGAGACCTTTTTATAATATTTTCTGGTGAAATTGCACAAATTGTGGCACATAATAACACAACATTGTTTAATAATAGTTTCTCTAATTTATTTAAGAGTTTTAATAATTTTTGGGATGCGAGGGTGGTAAAAAGGAAAATGATACTAAATTAATAATTTAGCGACTTATACAAAAATATGGAAAATAAAATACCTAAACTTAATATAAACTGACACTGACAACAAATTATACATAACAAAACATAAACTACGAACTGAAAAATAAAATTCGTATAGCTAATTCTAATAATATTGAGATATAATTGAACATGAGTGCGTCTCTACTTAAAAAAGTACAAATGTCGATAGATTAAATATGTATTCAGCGACCAACACAAAAATTTTGTAAGGATAGAATTAAGTTAATATAAACTGAAAACATAAATTATAAACTAAAGTAAACAGTAAGCTGATCAATAATGTAGCACAGTAGGAACATAGAAACACTTTTTATCCTCATTTGATCACCAGGTCATAATTATTGATTTATCCCAGTCCGTGAACAATTTTGCAAATACCTACCTACCTATTCGGAAAAATAATATTCAATAATTACTCACCAGAAATGTGGTAGTAACCTCACAATGATACACTTCCTAACACTAACTAAAACTGCAAACTGATGATGCAGATTGCAGTTGAGCGACCGGCCGGCGTCTTATTTTAATCGGGAAATCATTTCATTGGTTATCTTAGATGGTGTGATGCTTCAATCCCGAACAAATTGTACAATATTGTAAAATTTATATATTCTAACTCAAAGTTAAACTATATTTATACGAATTATTTTAAAAATTGTACAAAATTTATTTTTAAAATATTTTTAACAACAGATTTTAATCTTTTCTTGACAATGTTGTGCAGATAGTTAAATATAAAATCTTACTGTTTCCGACAAATTATAGAAAATTGACTTAAACAAACTAATTAGAAAAACCAATCCAACTATCTTGGATAACGTAGCACATTTCTGTGTAATCTTATTGTTATATTGATATTTACTCACCACATAATACATCCAAAGTAAGTTTGGTTAAATAATGAAAAAGATCAACTTCTTTCCCAACTTCTTTTCCCAAACATTTCATCAAAACTCCACATTGTTCAGAAAAAATTTCGACGAATTGATCCAAGATTCTTTGGTTAAAAGTTGGACGAATCAGTTTTCTGTGTTTTCTCCATTTTGGTACTAAAACATATAATAAGGATGATTACATTTTAACGAAAATTACATAGAAATTATACTATACATACCAGGTGCTGTAAGAATTCCTGTGCCAACAAATTGTACTATTTTGTCATATAAATAGGGCTTACCCAGGGCCTTAGGACTACTTAGTATTATATCTATATGTTTTGGGTTTTGAACTAGGAAAAATAATTGAGGACCAAACCAACCTCTAGATAAACCGGAATATTTTTCGAATAGGTACATCAAATTTTTGTAGATTTCTGAAAAAATATTTTATTACTTACCACTGAAAAAGCAAAACAGCCCAAGTAAGGTTTAAAAAAAGTTTAAGAACCCATCTAAAATATAAATTATGGCCTTACCTGTGGGTTGTGTTATAAATAAGTAAAAACATCCTACTATAGGTAAGGATATAGGTCCATGTATTTTCAAAGCATATGTATAAAGTTTTCTTCGACTCCATAACCATTGAATATAAATTACTGACAACGTTAAACAAAGGAAAAAAAATAAAAGATCTTGTGTGGTATATCGGCTGTTTGGGTTTGGTATAGCTTCTGCAGATACTATAAAAGTTTTATTCATTGTTGAACTAAAAAAAAATTAAAATGTTTTATAAACTTTTTAAAATAACAAGGGCCAAAAATTTGCAGTTACAAAAATAAAAGGCAAACCATATACAGGGCCACCCAACAAAATATGAAAAGGAAGAAAACGTCAAAAAAATTGCAACTGTCACAGTTACAGTTGCTGTTTAACCCCACTTTTCTACAACATAACCTTGAAATTTTGTGTTTTGTGTTCTCTAGACATATTTTTTAACCTCATTTTTAATAAGCATAACCTAAATTTAATATAACACTAGTTTACAGCCATGTCTCACTATGATTTTCTTGTGTAGTTTGGCTCACTAAACGCGAAAATCACACTCAAGTATACTTCGAGTTTTAATTGATCGATTTGACCAAACAAGCACTTAAATCAAAGGTAATTGAGCCCTTTACAACTTTCTCTTGTATAGTTTTGCTATCGGCTCAGTAGTTCGATAGTGGCGATTTAATGAAGTTGAAAAAGTCCTTTTTTTAACAAAAATCAAGGTCGAAAATTTACATAGGTATCTTTCTGGGAAAGATAGAAATCGAAAAGATAAGTCCATTTTGATTTATTTTTCGTATAGATTATACTTAAAGGAAAAAAATAAGCTGCTGTTGATAAAAATACATGGATAAATGGCGAAGTTATGAATTTTTCAGTGGAAGACCAAAATTCAGTTTTTCGAGAATTTTTACGTTTTTTCTTTATTTTATTGAATTATATAAAATTTAATATTGAACATTTAAGATATTAAAAGTTTTATTTTTTTGTAATAAGCATAGGTTTAAAAAAATTCCGGCTGCTTCTTTGTTTTTTGTTGCTTTCGTATTCCGTTTCTCGTATGAGGGACCAATCAAAAAATGGCAGTAAAATGTCACTATGCCAACACGAGAAACAAAAGAATTCACGTTTGCGGAGTCATGTCAAATTTAAATTTTTAATAATGTTTTCGGTGAAAAAAGTACGTAAAAAACTCAAAAAATTCCAATCATGCACTTTATTTAGGTTTTCATTAAAGAATAAACAAATTACGAAATAAAATAAAAAAAAATAAAATAAAAATCGTCAAAAGGCTGAATTTTGGTCTTCCACTAAAAAAATCATAACTTCGCCGTTTTTCCATGTATTTTAATCAACATTAGCTTGTTTTTTTTTTGTAAAAATGTCAGCTTCACGAAAAAAATTCAAACTGGAGTTATCTGAACAATTGAAAATTCATATTTCAATATTTCGATTTTGTAAACTGGCGAATTAATCAAAATGTAATCCTAATTATAAAATAAAACAAACGTAAAAAATCTTTTAAAAAAAAACAAGCGTTTAAAAAAACTTTTTGATGTATGAAGTAAAGCTACAAAAGAACAAAAAGAATTAAATTTCATCCTAAATTTTTTCTCGATAATTATGAATCACCCTGTATATGTCTTAAAAAGTTATCTGTACTTTAGAAGTAAACATATATAAAAAAATTAGTTGCTAATATTTTATTATTTCTGTTCTATTCTATTTTTAAAATTACCAAAAAAAACTATTGAATATGAACATCCTTAACTTTTTACAGTATATAGGGTTAAAATGGTAAACATATTTTTTGACATACCTTATTGCTTTGATGTTCTTAACACTATTTTAACAAGTGTGAAATAATTTATTTATATAGTAAAGTTCCCACCACTTAAAATGACAATTAAACTGTTTGAAAAGTTCGAAAAAGTTCATGATTACCGGATATTATTGTTATTACTTTATTTTATTTTTTATGTCTGTAAAAACTCTACTCATTAAAAACAGTTGTAGTCGATTTTTAAATTTTACTCCTGACGCACCGCACATGATACATATATTCACTTAGTCGGCCTTATGTTTGTTAATAGTGTTTATGTGAAAATATTCTTAGAATTTTAATAATATAGCATTATTCTATGTATGATTTGATAAGCTAAAAAGTCGGTTAAATTAGAAAAAAGTTGCGTAACCCAAGTTTTGGGACCAAATATTCGAATTTTTTTTTTAATTTTTTGATAATATTTAAAATTTCTTGCTACTTCTTCTGGCATAAATGTTGTAAAATGTACTAGAAGAAGTAATTTATAAAATACGCACAATAAACTGAATATTAAGTTTGCTTACACTGTTCAAAATTTCCTGAACATTTTAACACCAAATTAACACCATACATGGTCTATATCGATACAAACCAAAATGGTGTTAAATATGGTTCGTTGGTCCAGTGTAAATTCAAATACTAAAATAGTATAAATTTAACTTTCACCCTGTATGAAAATAAATTTTACCTGGTGTAAATTGAACTCCTTTTCAGTGTTAAATATTATGTGTTTTTGGTCAAATTAAATCATACTACACAGAAAAAAAGGAAAAAAAAAGAAAACAGGAAGTTCCTTGACGCATTACTAGTATATTACCAGTGGTATTATTCCAGAAAATTGCTTTTTTTACTATGTTGTATGATTACTGTGTTAGTTTATTCTGCGTGTCTAATGTTTTTTATTGGTCTCGTTTGGGTTTGCCTTACGCATTTGTTGTTGACAGATTTATTGTCCTACACAGCTTTGGTGTATCGCCGCGATAGTTCGATTTGGAAGTGTTGTCTTTTTTCTTTATTATTTTATGTTGTTTGGTTAGTATTGTCTTTCTAATGTTTCTATTGTTACTGATGTTTATTGTTTTTTTAGAGTTTAAGCAATGTGCCTTTCTTAGGGTTTTAAAGATATCTGTCGTGTTTAATTTGCAAATTATGTGTTAGGTCATGCATATGCTTTAGGATACTTATCAATTTTTTGCGGATGGCCACTTCCCCTCTTGTTTGACCTCTTTTGTTTGTCTAGTGAAAAGCGTCCAATGACAGGTGATATACATATAGAACCAGAAGCTGAAACTTGTCACTTAACTTATTCATATCACTTAACACTTCACTTTTTATTGACCGTTAGACTATTTTAGTTTGCACTTTATGAAAATTGTTTGTTTCACTATAATTGGTTTGCACTTTTTTTTTAAATTATTGTTAGTTTTAATCTTTAAACTTTAACGTTTTAAGAGCTCTCTTTACAGTGCGTCGTTACTTCTCAAGTGCTGGAACCTGACTGAAGAATTGTAGAAAAGTACAGAGAGTTTGATTTTTTATTTAGTATTAATTTTATTATTAAAATTTTTTTTTTATTTTAAAACATTGAGTAATCTGATTTATTGCTCGATAATTCCATCCCTTCAACTTCTCCTTTATTTTCTTGTTCTTCAGTTTCATTTTTTGATTCATCACTGGAGAACTCCATCCCTTCCAATTCTTCTCCTTTATTTTCTTGCTCTTCATTTTTATTTTTTTCTGATCGTAGTAAAAAATATGTTTACTTTACCAACATATTTCGGCTAGTTTGGTATCTGGAGCTCGTTTTCTTTTGAAATCTAGACTCAAATCGCATCGCAGTTTGATGATAACGCTCTACCTGCTCATCTGATTATGTCGATAACTGTCGACTGAAGTAGTCCAAATGGCGATGAAGGAAATGAATTTTGATCGACAAATCGACTCCAATTTTGGAAAAGCATCCAACATTCGTCGCACAGATCCTTCATAATTGGGGAGAACGATGTTTGCCTAAAATTCCAAGGATGATTTCTCTTATCGACGCCCACGCAACTATCTCATTGTGAAACCAAGGCCTGTCAAAGTCTTCAAACTTTACCAATTTCCGAATATCAGGACCATTTAAAACGCCTAAAGTAAAATGAATATGAAAAATATATAAAATAATTATTGAAAATATATGAAATCCTTGCCATATATTTTATTGTGGGTTTTGACAATGTTGATTTTGACGAAACAAAAAGTAACAGGCCAAGAGAAAGCTAGACAGATAGACCTATTTTGGGTCTTATCAATGTCGGGCAAATAGGTGTATTGGAACAGACCAAAAACGAAATACTATACTTATATTGTCCACCTAAGTCAACCGAGGCGAGATGTAAGAACATCACGTGATTGCCGCAATCGGTACATTTTACATAACATAATAGCAAATCAAATTACAAACTGTCAAACTGTTTAGTAAAATTACAATGCGTGTAGGATTTATACATATAGATTGTAAAATTACAACTTATCTTAGTAGATTTCCCAACATGTCTTGGAAGATTACTCAAATTTTATTATAATTTTGTATTGGTATACACTGATTTGTAATTTTACTCATCCTTTGTTTTGCAAAACAATTGTAATTTTTCAAAAAATTTTAAACGTGTACATACATGATTAAAATGATATATAGTAAAAATGCAAACAGAAGTGGTATAAAATAAATAATGATTTGTATATTTCCAAACACTTATCGTAATTCAAATAGCAAATTTTGGTTAGTAATTTTATTGATTATATTAGTAAAATTAAATTCCGAATATGTATAGGAATTTTACAAAATTTCAAATTCAATTCTACAATACCGAATTGTAAAATTACTATAAGTATCTGACAAAAACAAAAACATTGTAAAATTGGAACCTGTTTAGTACTTTGGCCATAACAAAATGTATAATTTTGCAAACATTTTTAACAGTGTACCTATGTAGCGAGTATGCACCACAATAATAAAATAAAAAAATGTATTAATCTAGACAAAAACTGTAAAAGATCAGAAAACAGTTTTCTCTACGACTACTTAAGAATAGTATACTATTATAACATTCTAGTGTAATTTTTGATCATAGAAAGGATGTTTTTCTGCAATACTGTGCGAGAATATTCCTACTCTTGTTTAAGAATGGTCACAAGTAACGACATCTCCTGGCTGTTTACTAAACGTAAAAAATTTAAAAATATTTAAATATTACTGTAATATTTATTAATAAAAAAATAATAGCAGTTGTATAATTAAGGTTTAGGCACAAAAAATTAGTTATATTTATTGTTTTTCAAATATACAAATCAAAATTATAATAAATTTGATATTAAAATGATAAACCAGTTACCTACTATACCGGCTTTGAAGTTTTGACAGATTCAAAAAGTTTAAAAAAAGACCTTTAAAATGTAGAAAAAGAATAGATGTTGACATAGATTACTTGTAAAATTAGTTTTGTATTTGTTACAATGTTATTTTTTTTATTAGTTAGTGTAAATAACTATTTTTAATTATAATAAAGATTTAGGCATACCATTTGTTTAAATTTATTATAATTTACATTATAAAATTGTGACGGCACAAAATGGTTTGACAATACAAAAAACTTAAATGTCAAAAACTGCTTGGTTTCTTTTCTCTGTTTAAAATTATATAAGCGTTACTATTCTTACGTAGTCGTAGAGAAAATAATGTCTGAAACACGTTTGGAATAGCATATTCCACTCTCGTAAAACCGTCACACTCGCCTTCGGCTCGTGTGTCAAATTTTTCCTCGAGCGGAATATGCTGTATTCCAAACTTGTTACAGAATGTACTATTAAATAATTTAATCTGAACCAAAACAAAAACACCCGTTCCACACACACTGCAACAAAAACTGCCATCCACCACATCTTCAGTCATGTAATATAAAACCACCAATTAGAGCAAGCCAAAGCTCCGATTCTCTGGCCTCAAGCAGTGACAAATATATTAGTAGGTAAATAGTAGTAAAAGTACACTTGTAATAGGTGAAAAGCTTATTACAAAAGGTCGTACGTTCCTTGATTTTGACGCGCGGTCCCAGAGGCCTACCCTGACGAGCCGCCACTGAATATAAAATACATAAAATACAAAATTAAAACATATTGAACGATAACAAATAGAAAAAACGGTCATAACAAAATTATAGGTCGTCGTAAATTGAAAACCTATAAATCTAAAATTAGTATACATTCACATTATAATTATACAATTAAAATAAATAGTAGTAACATTGTTTTCCTTACCCCAGGTTTAAGTCCTTTATAGAAATTAAACAAATTCCTACATTAGTCATGATTGTGTCATCTCAATGTGACCCTTATGTTTTGTTTTGAACGTATTAAATACGTTTTACTAAGAATAAAATGTTTTCTACGTAACTATAGGTACAAGTTATGGGAATTTGTTTTAATTTTTAAAAATAGCTTTTTATTTTGAAAAGGTTATATTATTTCCCAAAGTTATTTTTACGGCTTATAATTTATTAATATTAAAATCAATTGTATATTACCTACATATGCATAATATACTTTTTTTACTTCCACCTTCAAAACGTCCATTATCGTACCTGTTGCCATGACACTAAGTGATATTTAAATACACATTGAAAAGTTGTGGCTTTATGGCGTTTTAGTCACGGGCTGAAGTTAGCAACAGGTTTTTAGTCACGGGCTGAAGTTAGCTTTAAGTTAGTTGACAGTTGTCAAATGTCATACAATCGTTAAAATAAAGTGCCTTTCTTGTAAAATAATACTAAAAGTGAAAATTATTTTATTATCGCAATACAAAAATACAAAAGCATTAAATAGTTTCTCAACGCCAATATTTGAAAAGTTTATATGAACATTGTACTGAAATTTTAATTTCGCCGGCAGTAAACTATAACTTAAATTCGGGCACGGACTCCACTGTAAAGTGCTCATAAAACATTTTCTTTACTTTTACTGAGAAAAACTCTTGTTAATCGATTTTCAACCAAAATATTTCAATTTATAACCTTTATAACACAGAAAAATTTGACATTTGACGGTACCTAACACAGATTCCCCTATTGTTTCATAGATGGCGCTCTATACAAATTTTTGATTTAAATCATTTTAAGATAATAATAAGTAGGTATTTGTCGTAGAAAAAGTATAGTATGCACCTCGTTTATAAACTTTTCTATACACTCATTAATTTAAGAACTCGCTCGCAAGCTCTCTCGTGCCTAAATTAAATTCGTGTATAAAATGGCGTTTATCAAACTTGATACATAATATACTATTATCTATTTTGCGTTCATAATGACTTCATTATAACACAGCTCGGTGCTGTAATGATATACTTTATCCCACCCAAAATTTTGATTTTAACAGCATAATATTTTGCATATTGTTATAATATTTTTATGATTTTTCTAGTACTTACGAGACTTTTCTGGCAATAAATTTTGTTTAACACCAAAGAAAATCCTTTTTTTCTTTTTTAACATTAACATACCCTTATTGTAAATAAGTAAATTAAGGACGGCATGGCGAATCGATTTTGACATTAACTGTCAAACCAGCGATACCAACTATCTAAAGTAAAATTCGACCAAATTAAATTTAATTTATTTTTTTATAAAATTTTTGCAAAATAGATAAAATACGAGGATAAAGAACTCATGTCATAAGACCTTTTGTCGCACGTCTTGGGACATTAGTTCTTTAATATACTATTGTATTAAATATTTTGTAAATATAAAAATGCATGGAGAATATTTAAATTACTGTTATATGTTATATGATTGAGATTATCCCCACTCGAAAATATTAATAAAAAATGTTTTTTAGAGAAAAGTCAAAATATTATATAAATAAAATTTGATAATTCTTGTAAAAGCAATTTCCGCCATTATCGGGTTTACTTTAAACGTATCATAATGTTAATTATCAATTAAATTATAATTTAATTTAATATTCTTTAAGGATGTAATTTTGTTTTAAAGTAAAATGTATGTAATGTTTAATGAAAGAACAGAAAAATTTAGGAAATATATTAATTAATATTTAATTAATATTAATATTTATTAAACATGCTTTAAAGATTTTGTTTAAAATTACTTTTTTTACAAACGTCAGCAAAAGTATAATTTTAAAAGCTATCAAAACATGCCAAAAGCAGTTCTTCACTGAACTTGCCATCTTAAAAAATGATTGTACCAAAACTCGCACTTTGCTTTGACTTCGACAAGGCAGTGAGAAATTCATTTTCTTGATCACTTTCCATGTCAGGAGATTTGAAGTTACTTGCCAACAAATCATACCAACAATAAACTTCATGGGCAACTGGATTTATAAATTTATTTACGTAAGAAATGTATTGATTTGTACTATTTTCATTGAAGATACTTGAAAAGTCCAATAAAAGAAACTATTTAGAAATGGCTGCTATTACACGTCGCGGCGGGATTAAATACATATGGGTGATTCTACAAAAGTTGGACAACTTGATGTCATCAGTCAATAGAGTAGGTATTTTAATATTTTTTGTAAATATTTATATTACAAAATATCCAGGTTTTTTTAACTTGTCCACCCAATTTTAATGTATTTTTTCAAAAGCACGTTTGTAGAAAAACATAATAAATATTCAAAACATCAGTACCTTGGCGTGTCACAACTCCTGAATCAAATATTTGAGTGATTTTATTTTAAAATTTATTCAATTTATCTTAAATTTTTCAATTTCACTACAAACTATAAAACAATAAAATAATGTATTTTTCATATTTTATTATAGATTCGAATAATAGCAATTTAAAAAAAAATGATAATCTTTGTACTCACTTTTACCCGTCAGTTCTGTGTCCAATGTTAAAATTCAAAATTCCTGCGAAATATTGAAGTTTAAACGTCAAGCCTCGTTTAAACTCAAGTGTTGGTAAAAATTACCTACAGAGCCCGCCCTTCGCACGAAAGTCATCTTGAAAACAATGCAAGCGGCGAAGTTGTAGTGAATGCACGTATAGTTCAGTACTGTGGTGAGTAGTTATTTTTTTACGTATATATATTTCATTGTAATTTATACGTAAATTATAAGGCTATATGTGATTTCTTGAAAAGTAGCATCCACTAATAAAAAATATCAGTAAAATACTTAATTCCGAATTATAATCTCAAATTTGTATCTCATACATCAGTACGGTGTCGTCAGTTCCATGTTCGATGTTTCGGTTATCTTATTTTCGAAAACTTTAATTTAAATTCTGCTTGCGCAGAACTTGTTTATTTAATGTCATTATAAACTCATATAAATATGGTGTGGGTCCCATATCTAATAATTGAGATATCGGTATAGCCAAAATCCACCAGCCGCCACTGATGTTTGGTAGGTATTATTTGATTTTAAGATATTGAATGTATAATATGCTTAAAGTTGCAATAAATCTCAGTACCTTGGTATACTCGTCACTTCCCTTGCATTTAAATTTAGAAAACACAGATATTTCGGAAACTGTTTGAAAAAGTGACTGGCCCGGTCTGGAATAGTATATTTATTATATTATCTATGTTCTCATAACAAAATACTGTTTAATTTTCTCCGAAAACTATATAAACAAAATGAGGTCAAAAGTTGCCCAACTTTTGAAGAATCACCCATATACAGGGTGATTCGTTTAACTTGAAACTTTGAAATATCTCCGTTAGTATGCATTTTACGAAAAAATGTTTAAAATAAAAATTAAATGATTCGAGGGGGGGAAATCAATCAGTACTAAAATTGGTCCTCATACTCTCCTCCTTATAGGGGGAACAGGAGGTAACTTTAAAATTTCCAATGGAACACCCTATTTTTTATTGCAGATTCGGATCATTCGACTAAAAATAGGTTGATTTTGTCTAAAACATGTTTTCTAATAGAATATTTCTAATAGAAGGCGCTGTAATGAAAAAAAATCAATTTTATTCGATTTTTCTTCTGTTTAAGAGTTTGAAGATTAGATATATAAATAACACAATACTTTGTTTAAAAAATAATTTATTAAATTATAACAAAACATAAATCTAATAACTATTTTTTGTGAAAGGTTACTTTAAAGCCCTCGGTAGGTCTCAAAACAAGGTTACATTTCAGGTCAACATCTTCAATATTCTTATAATCGCAAAATAATTTGTATTTTCTTACGACAGTTGCTACCACTGTTTTCATGGCCATCATTGCATATCTAGGCCCTAAAACAAAACAAAAAAAAATATATATAAAAAACAAATAGCTAAGGTGTAATTTTAATTTTAAAAGAGGCTGTTACGGCAATAATATAACCTAATGTGTTACTTGGGAAGTTTTATAATTTTTTCTAAAAACTATCCTAAACTTATTTAACACTTAATAGCCTTTAAACATCTTATAAGATTTTGATTTCCACTGAATCACCATAAATGTGCTACGTTATCCAAGATAGTTGGATTGGTTTTTCTAACTAGTTTGTTTAAGTCAATTTTCTATAATTTGTTGGAAAGCGTAAGATTTTATATTTAACCATTTGCACAATATTGTCAAAAAAAGAGTTACAATCTGTTGTTAAAAATGTTTCAAAAATAAATGTTACTCTTTGGTACAATTTTATAGATAATTCGTATAAATATAGTATAACTTTGAGTTAGAATATAAATTTTACAATATTGGACAATTTGTTCGGGAGTGAAGCATCACACCACCTAAGATAACCAATGAAATGATTTCCCGCTTGAAATAAGACGCCATCCGGTCGCTCAACTGCAATCTGCAACATTGCAGTTTTAGTTAGTGTTAGGAAGTGTATCATTGTGAGGTTAGTACCAAATTTCTGGTGAATAATTATTGAATATTATTTTTTGCAAAATTGTTCAGGGACTGGGATAAATCAATAATTATGACCTGGTAATCAAATGAGGATAAAAAGTGTTTCTATGTTCCTACTGTGCTATGTGTTATTGATCAGCTTACTATTTACTTTAGTTTGTAATTTATGTTTATTTTATGTTTTCAGTTTATAACATAACTCTATCCTTCTCTTTTTGTGTTTGTCGCTGAATACATATTTACTCTATCGACATTTGTACTATTATAAGTGGAGACGGACTTCATGTTGAATTATATCTCAATATTATTAGAATTAGCTATACGAATTTTATTTTTCAGTTTGTAGTTTATGTTTTCTTATGTTTATTTTATGTTGTCAGTGTCAGTTTATATTCAGTTTATGTATTCTATTTTCCATATTTTTTGTATAAGTCGCTGAATACATTGGTATCTAAATTAATAATTAAGTTTCATTTTCCTTTTTACCACCCTCTCATCCCAAATATTATTAAAATTTTTAAATAAATTGGAGAAATTATTATTAATCAATGTTGTGTTATTATGATATATCTGCCACAATTTGTGCAATTTCACCACATCTAAAATACTCATTTACTTCCACGAGTGTGATATAATATTTAGGCAAAAGCCAAGAGAGTGTTACTTGGGTTACAAGCAGTGGCGGCCCGTCAGGGGAGGCAGGTGAGGCAGTGCCTCATCATAGAGAATTAAAAAATTAATTATAATTTAAATATTGTTTTATTTTAATATAAACTACACTGTTTAAAAGTTTCACTATTTTATTTAAATATGACAATTGTTTCGCTACACTGTAGCATCTTCAGATCTGAAGATGCTACAGTGTAGCGAAACAATTCTCATATTTAAATAAAATAGTGAAACTTTTAAACAGTGTAGTTTATATTAAAATAAAACAATATTAACATGGAGTTTCATCAAGTAAAAGTCGAAACAATTAATTATATAATTTAAATATTTTACTTTCTATAATATACTATAAATTTTTTATATTTGGATTACATGAATTGTGAAATAGCCAATAAAATTGATTGATTGTATACGTGGAATACCCAGCAACATTTAAATTATTTGAATTTGAAACGACCGCAATTTAAACTAATATTTATAGGTAGATGATTGGCTCAGAAGCATGCCTGAACTAATTTAGACTCACGATTGGCGTTAGCCTTGTTGTCTCGTTCTATTACAATGCGATATCATAGTTGTTTCCTTCTCTCGTATTAGCATACGCGAGGCAGGCACGCCTACATCCAAGGAAATAAGCAGGTGTTGTGGCAACACTGTTGCGGAATTTTAGATAAATTATACTTCACACGTTTTTCAAAATTAATAAGAAATGGTATTATTTTTCTTATAATAAATCGATTTAATCGAAATTATATTTCTATTCTAAAATAAACATATTTTAACACTATCGCCATATTGTAGCCAGCACAGTAACCAATAAAATAAATACAGATTCCTTCTTTAGGTTTGTTTTGATTATAAAATTCTGAACTGTTTAAAGAACAAATCTGTGGTTATTTACGCAATATTTTGTTTATTCTTTTTCTATGAGTTTGTCTATTTTATGATTCTTTTGTAAGTGGTTTATTCTGTGGGTTTAGTTAATTGAACTTGGTGATTTATGTGAATTTAGTCATTATGGATATTACGGTGAGAAATTGTACCGATATTGTGGTTCTTGCTGAACAATGAAATATTAATTAGACAAAAATATGGTTTATTTAAAGTAAACGTCATTTTTACAATAAAATATATTTCATTAACAAAGAAGAGGATTCCTTCCCCACCACAGTCTAAGTTTTTTACTTAGTTTTAAGTATAGGTTGTGAACTGCGACGTTAGTTTTTTTAAGTTGGGTTTAAAAAAATTTCTATGCCTTTAAATGAGGGCGAAACCCTGCCTCTGCCTCACCAAAATGAAATTTCACGGGCCGCCACTGGTTACAAGGTTATAAGAATAATACTCTATATACAATACCTATACAATTTCTGGCTCCATAAGAAAATGGCAAATAGGATCCTGGAAGAATTTTTTCAGTATTTTGAGGTAAAAACCTTTCAGGATCGAATTTCAGAGGGTCGTTCCAGTATTCAGGGTTTCTGTGCACGTTGATTATGCCAAGAACTGTTGAACAACCACTTGGTATGACCACATCTCCTACAAAATGTTCAATGAGTTTTTTTCTAATGAAAACATGTTTTGTAATTACCCAAATCCAGATCTTCACCTAATGTCCTAACAATAAAAGGCCCGACAGGGAACAACCTTAAAGTTTCTTTTATGACACACTCTGTATATTTTAATTTTGGCAGATCCGTGTGCTCAACCTTTCTGTCGTAACCAATAACATCTACGACCTCTTCGTATATTCTTTGCTACAAAAATATTTGTCGTAAAAAAATTAAAGGGGAGAAAAGCAGGTACACTGAAAAAAAAGATTTCTTATATTTAGAATACCTACCATCTTGAAAATATTTTTTTCAACAAGAAGAATTTTGTAGTATATTAAGAAACATTTCTTGTTTTAAAAAGTTGCATGTTTCAATCCAAATATTAAATATTCTTGAAGGAAATCTAAGTTGGTTTCTTGGTACAATTGTTAATATTTTTTTTTATATCAAGAATAAGATATTCTTATTTTTTATTTGTTTAATTTTTTAATAAACAGTATTTTCTTTTGCCAAGAATACATATTTTTGAAATTCTGTAGGAGTGGAGATGCCGACACGTTCCTCTGAAATTTTATGCCTAACCATGCAGTGTTTCTTCCTCTTTGTGAGGAAGAGGGCGTATTTCATTAAAAAATTATTAGAGTGGTCAGCATCGAAGGAAATTATAAAAAAAAAGGTTAGTAAGTTGTTATTGATATACCACGATTTTTTAAATTCAGCGTCGCATTTACGTGTAGGTTTATTGTTTAAATATTTACTAATATGCATTAAGGATGCCTTAAAATTATTTTATTCGTAAATAAATAGGCTTTGCAGTGATAACCAAAATATCTTATGTGTTTAACACTCTGATTTGTATGGCTCTATAATTTTAAGTCAATAAACTTAATTTATTTTATGACATTTAAAAAGATTTTGTTTTAGAAGTAATTTTGTTACACACTTTGGGGTATAACATTAATTTTGATTCATAGAATGGAGTTCATTGGCAATAGCCCTAAATTATTTTATAAAATTGGTAATTGCTTTTCTACTATGCCCAAAAATATTACAAATTATTTTAAATGAAAAATATGTCGATAATAAGGATTAAGTTCCCTACGTTAATTTATAATAATGTATACATTTTAGATTTTTCCTGTATTAAAAACAAAATAAATGTGTTTGTTCAACGTTTGTTTTTTTATTTTCTAATCTAAATTTTTTTGCTTACTGCACCACCTAGATTTTTTAAAACATTGCTAAAAGTAGCTTAAAATTAAGATAGATAAATTTTATTTTTATCGATACTTCTTGCATTGTTTTAAAATAAATATTATTTTGAATCTATTAATTAAAAAAAATATTGGGTTATAGAAAACATCTTGATTTAGATCTTTTTTGTTTAAGAATAGCACTAATTTATTTTTAAAAGAACATATTCCTGCTTTAAAACAACCAATTATTTGGTTAAAGAAAATACATTTTCTTTAAAGAAATTTAATTTTCTCACATTAAGAAAAGATTCTTGAAGTAAATCAACGTGAATTAAGAAAATACTCTTCGTTATATATGAGACAAAGATTGTTTTGAATCAAATAAATTTATTTGATACAAGAATTTTTTTTTTCAGTGTAGCATTCCACTTACTTGAATTTCTGGGAACATTCCTAGTACCATGAATGTGAAACAGTTTGAAGTTGCGGTTGTATCTGAACCCTAAAACATTTTTGAAAAAAAAAATATTATTTAAAAATAATATTTTTTTAAATATAAAATATAAAATTAAAAATATTTTGTATGTTCTTACAGCAATCATAAACGTATCTACTTCTTCTCTTAATTCTTGATCGGTAAGGATAGAGCCTTTTTTGGTGTATGCTATTTCTATTAAGTAGTCCAAAAAGGCCTTTCTTTTCGTAATTTCTAAAAAAAAAATATTTATGAAAAAAATTTTGCTATTTTTTTAAGTGAACCTTCTTTACTCACAGTAGGGCAAAATCATTTCATACGACTTACTAAACTAAACTAAATGAGTTTGACCTAGACTTTTATTGTGTTTTGATTAAGTAGATATTACAGCTCAGCTTCCAGATTTTTAATTAATTATTTTTTACAATGTTTTAAAAGTCTAAAACATATCCTCCGTGACTGTTACTCTTTCTAGGTTAAAATATTATTAAAAATTAAAAGAAATATTTTGTATAACCATTTATGTGGGTGTTACAAAAATTGATTCTATCCTCCGTGAATCTGTTTTTGCTTTAAATTTTATGCAACGGATGGCGCTTTAATCATTTTAAATAAGCAAAAACCTCTGTTTACGACATTATAGATGCATGTGATTCCTGAAGGTCAGTTAGAATTTATATGCAGATGAGAGTGTTGCTGTTTTATTATTCAAAAGTTTAAGTTCATTAATTTGCTATTTAAAAACCTATACACCGTTAAGTGTAATATCTCAGTAAGTGGATTTTTTTTATAAATAGTTTATGTACGTACAATTGTATTTTTAAAAAATATTAAGGTGTCAAAAGATACAATAACTTATTTCAAATATACAAAGGGATGTTTAAAAAAAACGAAAAACGAAATCCTAACCTCCGTGAAGCTATCTTCCGTGAAGTTCTAATATAAAGCATTTCGCAAATTAACCTATCTTGGTATGATCAGGAATAATGCAAAGAAGTTTCACTTCTATAATGATTACACGTTAAATTTTTTGGTGGTATACCTTCAACTTCTGCCTCAGGGCACTCATTAATTTCTTCCATTTTCTTTTTATACGCTATTCTTTTTTCCGTGACCACCTACATTTGGTGAAAGTCATCATTATTAGATTTTAAAAAAGTTGTATATTTTTATTCATACCCTTCCCGAAAAATCATGCGCCTTCATTACGAGATCGTCATATTCCTTTTTTAATGGGGTTAAGCTAAAAATAAAATCGGAATGGAACCATATCCTAAATATTTTTAGCATTGTTATCTCCATAAGCCTAAAAAATGAATTATTGTTATTTTTAACACATGCAAAAATTTTATATTTTATTGTCTTCAATGAGCTAGTGTTTCATCCATGTTTATTATTTACTTGCAATAAAGTCATATTATTATTATTATGTATACCTACTACAGCTTTGTTAATTTTTTTTTCAAAATTAGCAAATACTGTTTGTATTACTAATTTTAAAAATGTTTGGCCTGTCTTTTTTCATAAGTTACTGGCTACTATTTTTTAACAGTAATTTTTAAAATTTCAAATCGATATTTTGTTCTAATGAACCACAAATGTTAGGCACCCTGTATACTATTTTTTTAAGCATTTAATAATATGTAGGTTTACATGTACGGCGGTGTATAATAATTTAACTTTTAAACTGCCATATACTTGTAATATAAAAATTGCTATACGCTTAAAAATAGTATATTATGTATCAAGTTTGATAAACGCCATTTTATACACGAATTTTCTATTATTATCTTAAAATGATTTAAATAAAAAATTTGTATAGAGCGCCATCTATGAAACAACAGGAGAAACTGTCAAATGTCACATTCAGATTCACATTTTTACATTTTATAAACACAATTATAAAGGTTATAAATCGAAATGTATCTTGAAAATTGACAGTTTTTCACAGTGAAAGTAAAGGAAATGTTTTATGAGGACTTTACAGTGGAGTCCGGGCCCGAATTTAAGTTATAGTTTACTGCCGCCGAAATTAAAAGGTCAGTACAATGTTCATATAAACTTTTCAAATATTGGCGTTAAGAAACTATTTAATATTTTTGTATTTTTGTATTAAGATAATTAAATAATTTTCACATTTAGTATTATTTTACAAGAAAGGCTTTATTTTAACGATTGTATGACATTTGACAACTTTCAACTAACTTAAAACTAACTTCAGCCCGTGACTAAAGCGCCGTAAAGCCACAACTTGTCAATGTGTATTTAAAAGGTCACTTAGTGTCATGGAAACATGTACGATAAAGGGCGTTTTAAAGGTGGGAGTAGAAAAATGTATTTAAGAAATTATTTAGGGGATCATTTTTTTAATTTTTTTGTTCGCCTTTGCAAGGCTTTATAAAATTATAATAACAAAACTTCTACAAAAGGTGGAGTTAAAATTTGGCCATCATTGTAGGAAACAGTACATACAGTCCCAGAAAAATATATTTTTGTTTTGTTATTCAATATGCAGTGCTTGTCAAAAAGATGAAGGTTTTTTTATTAATTTTACAAGCAAAATGTTCTTTAAAAGTTTGCACCTCACATATAATTATAAAATGCAAGTATAAATAATAAATTATTTTTTTTTTTCAAATCCAATGTAACTTTACCTTTCTGTAGTACATTTAACAGGAATATATTTGCTCTAAAGATTTTGAGTAGGTTTGAGATGATGACTTATCATTCAAATTTCTTAGTTTCTAGTAAAATTTTAAAAAACAACTTTTCCATATATTTTTGAAATAATTTTTTTTTTGTATTTTAAACAAAAAAAAATTATATTTTAGGAAAATGTTTGACTGAAAATTATTCATGTTTAGTTGAAAATTGTTTGTTAATACACCCTGTATATTATGGATCATCGAAATCCTTTTAAGGATAAATTGTCTTAGAACTGGGTTATTTATGTATACCATTTTTATTGTGTCAAGTACGTTTGTATTCAACTAGTTTCGCATTGTTTAATCATAATAACAGGTGAATTTATATTTACAAACCAGATTTAAGATTTTGCACTTGAGATTAATAATATTATGTAACGTAAAAAATGTGACATTGGACTTTACGATTCTTACCTATCTGCCCACTTTCCGTATAGCGAATCTGTAGTTTGAGCGTTTACTTTGATGCCCATAGCAGTTTCTAAAAAAAAATTAAAAAAATGTGATGCAAATTTTTGATTTCTTCATTATTATATAATATACAGGGTGTTATGTAATTAATGTTATATATTAAAATGGGTTGTTCCTTAGGGTCCATAAAGAAGCACCTGAAACTTTTTTTTTCTAAATTCCAAAGTCTAAAAATAATTTATAATAACCTTTATCCTACCAAAAAGTACGCCACTGATCGACTAGGAACTTTAGGTTAATCTGGTGGATTTATTATGTTATGGTTGGTAACAACAGTTTTTCCAAAATCTCTCAAAAAAGTTGTCAAACATTGTTTAAATTTAGCTTAATTACAAAAATGACAAAATTAACAATGCATATTGTCAATTTGGCGTTTTTATTAATTGTTGGTTATTTCATTTTTGTACTGAAGGTAAATTCAAACAAAATCTGCCAACTTTTATGACAGAATCTAGTGCATTTCTTTTAAATTTTAGGTTATGTTTTCAAATTGTAAATATCTTAACTAAGGGAAGTGCTTTTGGATTTATTTACACAAATTAAATGTCTAAAGTTTAACCTGTGAACTGGTCCCAATTTCATCTGAGTAAACAGAGAAAAAAACTGATGAAAAAATTAATTTTGTGGTTATGGATTTCAAATTTCAAAGGTACTAAATTTTCTAATCATTGCTTAAGCTAATAGCTGGATCAGTAAATAAATACAGAAGGGTATTAGAGCTTTAAGGGCATAAAACTTTTGTATTTATTGAGTTTTTATTTATTTTTTGCAAGAAAAATGTTTAGTAACAATTTTTTACATCTGGCAACGCATAGCTACTTTGTTGGTTGGTATCTATGTACTCACAAAATACAGGTGTGCAGAGATAAACAAGTGTGCAACCAGTGGCGTATCACAAAAAATATAAAAACTTCTAATGCATATTTTTTCTTTATCTTTGGAAAAATGCTTTTTAAAATATTTTTCCTTTATTCCTTATGTCAAAAGGTATTCAGTATTTTAATATATAACATTAATTACATAACACCCTGTATATTCTAATAAAGAGATTTAATTTTGGTTTTTTCTTGCTTACCACATATTACATCTAAGGTAAGTTTGGTTAAATAGTGGAAGAGATCGACTTCTTTTCCAATTTCTTTTTCCAAACATTTCGTCAAAATCTCGCCCTGTTCTGAAAAAACTTCCACAAACTGATCCAAAATTCTTTGGTTGAATGTTGGGCTGATGAGTTTTCGGTGTTTTTTCCATTTTGGTACTAAAAATATTACAAGAAATAAGAAATAATATAACGATTGATCAATTTTTTTTTATATGATTTGAAAAACTTTAAATGATATTTATACATACCGGGTGCTGTAAAAATTCCTGTACCAATCACTTTTTTTGCATGGTCGTATAAAGGGTCCTTAGCCAGAGCTTTAGGACTACTAAGTATTATATCCAGATGGTTTGGTTTTTGAACCATAAAAAATAATCGATGACCGAACCAAACTCTGCCTAAACCAGAATATTTCTTGAACAGGTACTGGATATTTTGGTAGGTTTCTAAAAAGTAATACATTTTATTCAAAATAATTTAATTATTATATACAGGGTGTCCCACAATTAGTGCGACAAAATAAAGGTGTATTATCTAAAGACCCCCAGGAATTCCAGAAAATTGTTTAAAAAATTCTTTCTTCATTATTTAATAAGATACAGGGGAGTCATATTTTCTTTATATGGCAACATTGCCTCATAATAAAGTAATAGTTTAATTCTTAATCATCATGACAACAAACAACAATGTTAGAAAATGTCAAATTTAAATGTCAAAATTTGTTACTTTAAGTTATAGGTTATTTATTTTACGTCAGACAGGGACTCCCTGTATTTTTTTCTATCCAGTCTGACGTAAAATAAATAACCTATAACTTAAAGTAACAAATTTTGACATTTAAATTTGGCATTTTCTAACATTGTTGTTTGTTGTCATGATGATTAAGAATTAAACTATTACTTTGTTATGAGGCAATGTTGCCTTATAAAGAAAATATGACTCCCCTGTATCTTATTAAATAATGAAGAAAGAATTTTTATTTTTTTATTTTTACTGTGTTAAGTAAGACTAAATAGGTATAATTAACTATAATTTAATCAAAAATTTTAAAGGTTTTTATTTTTTAAATGCGTTTCTAGATTATCATAAAGCACTGTTTTGCAGAAATAATTCACAAACTTTTTTATTAAAAATAAATAATATTTTTTTCTTTTTTACTGTATTATATAAGGATTATTGCGTATAATTAACTATATTTCAATCAAAAAACTTAAAAGTTTTTAATTTTTAAATCCGTTTTTAGATGTTCATAGAGCGTCAATTGCGGAAATAACCAATAATTTTTTTATTGCAAAAAATATTATTATTTTTATTTTTTACTTGTTTAAATAAGTCTAATTAAGCATCAATTGAGGAAATAATCAAAAAACTTTTATTGCAAAGAAATATTTTTTTTTATTTTTACTGTGTTAAGTAAGACTAAATAGGTTTAATTAACTATATTTTAATAAAAAAAATTAGAGGTCTTTATTTTTTAAATGCCTTTTTAGATGTTCGCGGTGAAACGATTGCGAAAATAATTCAATAACTTTTTAATTGTCTTTGTCTTTTTTGTGTTTGTCTTTGTCTTAAACTTATATAAAAATGTTAATTTAATTTTTTCCATAACAAGTGTGAATTGATTTTTGTCCAAATTTAGAAATCTTCTCTTTAAATTTTCAGAAAATAGACTTTGTCACTATTAAAATATAAACGCAGAAAGTACTCATTTTGAAAAATCACAAAATCTAAGTTAAATTTGCTGAATTTTTTTCTTCTTAATTTTACAAACTTTTAATTTTTATTTTTTTTATTCAAATAGGAATTTTTATATATGTAGATTAAGGTGTGCCTTTTTAACCTTATTTTTTTTAAATATACTTTTTTTGTTTGATTAAAATTTTACTGTTTTAAAAACATTCTACTTTGAGGTATATAAAACAAAACATAGTTATTTAAAAATAATTATTGCTTTAAGATGTTTTTAACAAATTATTGTCATAAAAATACCCATAATATATTTCAAATTTAAAGCTGTTTTATTAAAATTGTAGTTTTTAAAAAAATTACATTATTTTACCTGTGGGTTGTCCTATAAATAGGTAAAAACATCCAAATATGGGTAAAGAAAATGGCCCATGTATTTTAGAAGCATAAGTATAAAGTTTTCTTCGGCTCCATAACCATTGAACATACAGCACTGTTAACGTAAAACCAAGGGAATAAAGTAAAAATTCCTGTGCGGAAAAGGGGGAGTGGGGGGTTGGTATAGCCTTTGCAGATACTGAAAACGTTTCAATCATTGTTGTTTACTAAAAAAAATGTGGTGTATCAAGTTTACAATCTATTGCAACTTTTTTTTTTAAATTTGATTTTTGTTATCTATTCCTGTTTTCAAGATAAAATCCCCAAATAACAAGTCTTAAGATAAAGTAAGATATCTCAAAAACAAGTCGATATATTTAAAAATACTAAAACATTGCAAAACAAGTTTGTATTTTCATAAACAAAAAAAAACTTGTCAAAGTATATATACAAAGGCCATACCTTTTATTATGTTGCTACACTATTATTTAATGTGTTTTAACTATTTGCACTAACGTAAACAATAGATTTATGTTGGAAATTGTAGTATAGATATAGTGATGTTCCCCACTACTACGTTTAACGCAAATAATTTAACTTTTGCGTATAATTCAATTAAGGTTAAAAAATAAATGGTTCTAGAAAAACTAAAAGAGATTCATATTTGTTCTTTATTTTTTTATAGTAAACTAGTATTACTTAATTTAAGTAATTATATCGTTAATTAAGCTTAAAAATTGTCACTAAAGTAAAAAATCTTGTTAGATAATAATAGATTATTATAATACATACACAGTATACACAGTACGACAAAATCTAAAAGAAAAATATAGCATAACCCGTTTTAAAATGTCTGTATTTATTTTTAATTCATAAATGTTTGTCTCTTAAATTAATAACATTCGTGTTTAAGCCGATAATTGGAATTGGCCAAAAATGTTAATTATAAATAAATATTGTTATTTTAAATGAAACACCCCATATTTCTTAACACTTTTAAATTCTATATAAAATTTTGAGTAAAATTACTGTTCCATGTCCTATACCTACACTGAGAAAAAAGTTTATTGCTCCCAAATAAAAAAAATATTTAAATATGGGACAAGGGTACAGTTTATTTATCCTAAATATATTTTTATTCCCGACACATAAAGTTTTACTAAAGTATATTTATCGTTATTATTTCGACTATTTAGAGGTAATAAACAATATATTCACTACTAATAAAAGTATTAGGTACACAGTTTATTTGTCCCATTTTTTTCTCAGTGTAGAGTAAATAGTTTAGAAGTTATTAATTTTTTCCGTTAAAATATGACAAATGCGCGTCAATTAAAAATAGCCTAAAACTTTCTTGCTATTAGGTTTGCAAAAATGGGGTGGAATTTTTCGAATCTAAAAACATTGTATAAAAGATTCCATGTCAATTTCTTAACATACCGGGTGTTGGGAAAATTTCACTTTTTGCTTGTACTTGAAATTTCACTTGAAATTTTCACGACATTTATGAAATTTATTAAAATTTCCCAAATGTCTGAAATTTCATGAAATTTATGAAATTTTTTGAAACTTTAAGTGTAATATATTAATATTGAAATAAGCCCACTCGGTGACCATGGCAAATTGCCTAGAGAGCTCTTACCTCCTACCCCTCTGTGGGCCCCTGCACCAATAATATAAATAGTAAATACCTATGTTTACCACAAATTTCTTGAGATCTCCTTTTATTTTTTAAATTACTAAAACTAAGAGAGATATAGCACTTTTTGGTAAGCTAATGAGATTGTGACACTTTCATTGTTTTATATTTATATATATTTATTATTTTTATATATTTTACTGAAATTTTACAAAAATTTAAGAAATTTTATCAAAATTTTATGAGCCAAAGGCATTTCTTTATCCGTTTTCCGATGCAATTATAGCAAAAGTAAAAGTTTAAATTAATCATGACTTTTAAAAAAAATTTAAGTCTGATTTAATTTACAAATTAAATTGGTAACTGAATTAAATTATTTAAATTAATTTATGCATATAGGTAACAATAATTACATATAGTGTATTCAAATCCAAGCCGAACTAAACAAAAACGCTTGATAACTCGTTCTTATTGGTCGATTCGGAATCTGTTGTAAATTATTATTAAAGGTCCCAGGGGAGGCCGCATGTGAAATTTATGCGATTTTTTCAGTAAATTGCGAAACTTTCAAAGAAATTTCTGAAAGTTTCACAGGCAATGTTGAAATTTTCGGATTGAAAATTTCATTTTAAATTTTTAAAAATTTCACTTTTCCAACTAAATGAAATATTTCAAGTTTGAAACTTTTAAAGTTGAAATTTTCATTTGAAAATTTCAACTGTCCCAACCCTAGGTGTTACATTTAATATAATAAAGTTATTAACGTTTCAAGTTAGCCCAATTTGCCCTGGGGTTTCTCGGGTAATTTTTTGAAAAATGTTAAACAATTGAGTTAATTGAATTGACATGGAATTTGTTAAACAATGTTTTAAGGTTCCAAACATTTTACCCCCTTATCCGTAAACCTAATAGCAAACATCTAGAAAACTATTCACTTTGGGTATAGGACATGGTATAGTAATTTTACTTAAAATTTTATGTAGAATTTAAAAATGTTAAAATATATGGGGTGTTCTATTTGAAATAACAAAGTTGATGTCACTTCCGGTCAAACCCGAAGTTGCATTTTGTTTAAAATATTTAAAAAAAATAGACTTAATGGATAATAAACGCTTTTAAATTTCAAATCTATATTTTTTCCGTTCTCCAGAAACTTCCAATGGACCACGAATGTAAAACACCCTGTATATCAAGTGGTGTTTTTAGGTTGTGATACCACTATAGATTCGAAAGCAATGTATAATCGTCAAACTAAAAGATCAAGATTTGTTTCCAACATATATTTAATATAAAATAAATACAAATCTGTTGTTTTATTAAAAAAATCAAAAATTAAAACCAGAAATATTTTTTTGACTTAAAAATAAAATTGTTATTTTCATAGTATAATTTTTGTATTATGTAAAAACATAAAATATTTTAAGAAAAAAAATTATTTATAACAAAATGGAGAATTAAAAATCTGTTTAGGTTAAAATAATAAGAATGGCTGTGTAAAAAAATTAAATGGCGTGATTTCGTTAAAATGGGTACTTATTTTTAACCTTAATTTTTAAAATCTGTTAAAATTTTTCATGGGAGGAAAATCGTATTATACTGTGTTATTATATATCAAAAATTTACAAATTGTATACAATAAAATATAAAATATAAAAAAAAAATAAAATATATTTACAATTAAGTTAAACTGGTGGAAAACATGATTTGACGAAAAACGCTTTCCATGTGTTTTGATCGACCTTTTTTGACCGTTCGACTTTGTTTACATTAATAAGTAAAAAAAACGTCAAATAATTAAATGAGTTTTCATGTATATCAATTTTAAGTGTTTGTTTTTAGTGTTATGTATATATTTTACACGGTGATTTGTTTTAAGTGTTTAATTAAAATTAAGGCGCGTTTGCAGATCTTTAAAACCTGAAATTTGTTAAAAATCGCATATTTTGCTTAGAGGGTCCAGACTCGATCCCTTTTGACTTTTTAGTCCTACGAACATTTGTTCTAGTCTAGTTTAGTTTAATAATAATTATTGAAATTTGGCAAAGAAAAAGTACATTTTTAAAAGGTTTTTATTTTTGTTAAATTTATAATGACGATTTGTTAAAAACACCTTAAGTGATGATAAACCACCCATTTCCCCCACTAAATTATGCATATTTTTTTAAATGGGGAGTATCCGTGCAAAACCGGCTATATCCATTTTAATGAAATGTTGTGAAAATGGCAAAAACTCAAGACGTATTTTTATTTCTTTTGCAGTAATATTTTTTATTATTAAAATAAATAATTTTTAGTTAATTTTAAATACAAAATGATAGATTTTTTGTATCATTGCTAAAAGTGGCTTAAAATTAAGATAGATACATTTTATTTTTAACGATACTTCTTGCATTGTTTTAAAATAAATATTATTTTGTAATCAATGAAATAAAATTTTAAATCTTGAATCTATTAATTAAAAAAAATATTGGGTTATAGAAAACATCTTGATTTAAGAAAATTATTGCCTTATTTCAATATCACATGTTTTTGTTTTAAGAAAATTTATTCTTGAATTAAGTAAGTATCTTTTTTATTTAAGAATACCACTAATTTATATTTTTTTAAACATATTTTTGCTTTAAAACAACCAATTGTTTGGTTAAAGAAAATACATTTTCTTGAATTAAGTAAATATTGCTGCCTTATTTAAAAAATTATATATTCTTGCTTTTAAACAATCAAAGTTTTATTTAAAGAAATTTAATTTTCTTACATTAAGAAAAGATTCTTAAAGTAAATCAACGTGAATTAAGAAAATACTTTACTATTTTAAAGAATATATTCTCTTCGTTATGTATGAGACAAAGATTGTTTTGAATCAAATATATTTATTTGATACAAGAATTTTTTTTTCAGTGTAAGAACAAATTATGGCAATTTTATTAAAAGCATTTGGACCAAAGAAAATACTTTAACAAGTAAAGAGTGAAATATTTCACTAATAATATGAATTTAAACAATGCAAAAAAATGTAAACAATGCAAAGAGTGAAATATTTCACCATGGTGCTATGTAACGTGTTAATCAAACAATACCTAACTAAGCGATAAAACATGAATAGCTAAATAGCAAAAACCACAGCACAGAAAACTAAAGCATAGTAAAACAATGACAAATTCATACTTGTAATTTGTAAATATACACCTTGCATTGAAAACTATGTTTACTAAACCCTACTTAAGGGGTAGTAAAGTAAAGTGGTTATTTAAGATATGAGTGATTCTACAAAAGTTGGACAACTTGATGTCATAAGTCAATAGAGTAGGTTTTGTAGAATGACCCATATACACTTAAAAATAACAAATTTCTCAAATTATTTGAAATTTTTTTTCTTCCAATATTCAAATGACATTTTGGACATAATTACGCAACTTTTTTTAAATTTAACCGAACTTGTAGCTAGGTACTAACACATAAAAGTATACTACTCAGTAAATATACCTAGGTACATTAGTATTGTAAAGCGTAACTATAGTTATAGTAAGTATACTTTTTTTTAATAATTTAACTGTTTTGTTATTGTCTGGTGTCATTTAAACTTTTTTGAATTTGTAAATTGGTACAAATAATTAAACACCACTTACTTGTTTTAATAATGTTTATTTGTGTTCTGAAACATTATTTTTCATTGCCACATGCTCATTGATTTTAATGATATTTGAATTTGAATTTTATTTCTAGAAATATTTAATTCATTTTGGGTGTTATATAAAAATACGTTTGACTTTGAAAAAAATGGTATTTCTAGTTATTTATAAACTTTTGGTATGCTGGTGTATATATTGTAACTGTCGACCTTAATAATTTTATATGTAAATTTTGTATTTACACGTTAAAATAATTTTTTTCTTGCTTTACAACATATTAAAAAAGTGCTTCCTTCTCAGCTACCTTCTATTTTTAATTTTTAACTTTAATTGTTTGTTTTTTATTAACTTCCTTTAAAAATTACATAAAGCTTGCCAGAACTATTTTTATAGTCACAGTCTAAAAAAATTACTAAAACATTAACAAAATATTAACACATAATATGTGATTTTACAAAAGTTGTACAACTTGATGTCATCAGTCAATAGAGTAGGTATTTTAATATTTTTTGTAAATATTTTAGTATATTACAAAAGATCCAGTTTTTTTAACTTGTCCTCCCAATTTTTTGCGCAGAACTTGTTTATTTAATGTCATTATAAACTCATATAAATTTGGTGTGGGTCCCATATCTAATAATTGCGATATCGGTATACCAAAAATACCGATACCAATATTTCGGAAACTGTTTGAAAAAGTGACTGGCCCTGTCTGGAATAGTATATTTATTATATTATCTATGTTCTCATAACAAAATACTGTTTAATTTTCTCCGAAAACTATATAAACAAAATGAGGTCAAAAGTTGACTAACTTTTGTAGAATCACCCATATATATATTGAAAGGATCAGTGTGTAGTATACAAATAATTTAAGGCATGTTTTGTAAAAATACAATTTTAAAAAGATAATCAAAAACTTATAATTATCGTTATTATTAAAATTTGCTAAAAAATACGGCACAAATATTGTTAAATATTCCTGAAAACCATTAAATCCCATATAAAATATTAAAAAAACTATTTTACAAATTGTTAAAACGTAAAAAACATAACAAATAAATTAAATTAAAAAAAATAATTATGAAATAATCCGGTAAATATGAAAAATACCTATCATTACAAATACTAAAAATATAAATCCTTGACCATGACTTTTCTTAAAACAAATGCAATAAAATTATTAAAAAGTTTAACCTTAGGAATACACAATATTATTATTATTTAAAACATGTAGATTTAGTTGCCTATATTCATTAGGGTGCTTAAAAAAAAATAATTTTTTTTTCGCTCTTACCTTCTTAAATGTTTCTATTTAATATAAAAAAAATCCTCACCAAATATGTGCGTTCCAGCTCAACTCTAAGAGGTCGCTGTTTTTATTTTAGTTTCCCATTTAATTAACATGGGTAAAAATAATTTTATGTTTGCATCATATTTTCTGCTTTTTTTAAATTTTATGGTACAATTAGCAGACGGGAGGTAAGAGTTGAAAAAAAAATTTTTTGAAGCACCCTAGTTTACATACAATCCGAAAAAAGTAAAAATTTGTACCTTTTTCTCGCTCTACAGGCTCAGAATAATTATTTTCGATTAAAAGCGTCAACTTGTGAGTCAATATATTTTCAAATAATTTAGAAACCGAAGAAAACAATCTAAAAAAAATTTTTACGAAATTTGTTGGGTACCCCATTTTGCTCCCCCGCTGCCTTGTTTTGTCCCCTTTCACCTTCCGTCTGCTAATTGTACCATAAAATTAAAAAAAAAACAGAAAATTTGATGTTAATCAAACTTTGACCTCGAATAACTCTGGAAGAAATCAATTTATCGAAAAATAATAAGAGACCTTTTTTGTAGAGCGTTACATTTTATATAAGAAACATAAAATTATTTTTTCTTGTTAATGGGTCTACAAAAAGGTTTGTAAAAATAAGTTCCTTTTTGAAAATTATAAGAATTATTGACAGGATTTTGTTATTAAGTCTACAAAATGTTTATTATAATTACAAACTACTTATTTAATTTGTTAACAGATTACAGTTGGTTGTAAAAGTAAAATAAAGTTATGTAAACCTGGATTAACATACAATGGCTAAAATTAACAAATATTTTTTTACTGTGTATACAATCTAATACAAAATAACTTAAGCACTTAACTTTAAGTTTTTGTTAATAGTTAAAGAATTAGAAAGACCTTTCGAACAAGGTATCACATGACCTATAATAGTGCTATAAACATTACAATTGTCAAAAAAAGAGAGACTAAAAATATGTGACGTACTTTTGACATTTTTTGCAAATTTTTGGTTTAAAAATGCCAGCGTTCGAGGCAAAGTTCGATGTACTGGAAAAGTTTGATGGCAAATTTTGCGAGTTTTTAAACGTGCAGGAAAAACTGACCGGAAGCAATTTCATGGCGAAAAAATTCAAACAGCCCTGCCGAAAAAAGGAAAATCTGGTGAACTGCCCGGAAATCGTGTTGATGCAAAGGGTACCGTACCACGAGCACGTGTTTGGACTTATGGATTACTTCGTCGACACTTTTGGCGATCGGATAACTTTTTTGTACGACACTGTGGACATAAAGCTGAGGGATATGTTGAAGGATACGAAGGGGGGATTCCCGGAAAAGTTGGCCAAAAATTATCTAAACCAGATAGCCTCCGGTTTGGATCACCTACACAAACACGGTTTTTTCCACAGGAATATTAATCCTGATAATATCCTTGTCAAGGACTATTCGGGATGCCCGAGAGGATCGGAGATATTCAAACTGGCGGGACTTGAAAATTCAAGGGGGATGTATAGTTTGCCGCCTTATACAGAAACCGTACCATCAAACAGGTAATTTTAGCACTAGTGCGGAAAAGTATCATTTTTAGCATGCCTAAAGGTTTTATTATAATTGCTTTAATAAGGTTTTCACAGCTTTCTTAAATCCTCCTCTGACACCTTTATAAAGCTAAATAGGGTACACATACACATAGTTATTGGACACTTAAAGAATATTATTTATTTAAAATTTATATAGGCTGTTGTTTAAAAGATTTTAGTTTTTTTCTTATAAATATATAAAAAGGATAGTTTGTTTGAATTTTTAATAATTGTTTTATAAAAACATGCAAAAAAGTATAGTAATTGGACATTTTATATAGTAATTGGACACATGGACCAAAGTTATTGAACATTTTTATATTTTATTATTATTATTTCGTTTTTGTAAATATCATATAATTCGTATATTTCTTTGTCTACGACTACTTAAGAATAGTAACATTCTAGTGTAATTTTTGATCATAGAAAGGATGTTTTTCTGCAATACTGTGCGAGAATATTCCTACTCTTGTTTAAGAATGGTCACAAGTAACGACATCTCCTGGCTGTTTACTAAACGTAAAAAATTTAAAAATATTTAAATATTACTGTATTATTTATTAATTAAAAAATAATAGCAGTTGTATAATTAAGGTTTAGGCACAAAAAATTAGTTATGTATGTATATTTATTGTTTTTCAAATATACAAATCAAAATTATAATAAATTTAATATTAAAATGATAAACCAGTTACCTACTATACCGGCTTTGAAGTTTTGACAGATTTAAAAAGTTTAAAAAAATACCTTTAAAATATAGAAAAAGAATAGATGTTGACATAGATTACTTGTAAAATTAGTTTTGTATTTGTTACAATGTTATTTTTTTTATTAGTTAGTGTTAATAACTATTTTTAATTATAATAAAGATTTAGGCATACCATTTTTTTAAAATTTATTATAATTTACATTATAAAATTGTGACGGCACAAAATGGTTTGACAATACAAAAAACTTAAATGTCAAAAACTGCTTGGTTTCTTTTCTCTGTTTAAAATTATATAAGCGTTACTATTCTTACGTAGTCGTAGAGAAAATAATGTCTGAAACACGTTTGGAATAGCATATTCCACTCTCGTAAAACCGTCACACTCGCCTTCGGCTCGTGTGTCAAATTTTTCCTCGAGCGGAATATGCTGTATTCCAAACTTGTAACAGAATGTACTATTCTCGGATTCCTCATTCCTTTTCTGGATTCTGAAGGTAACTACTAATTCTTTGGTCTGACTTCTGAAATAGTTTGTTGCAAATATCATTAACCCTTAAATGTGTGGTATCTCTATAGTTTGTGAAGCATTTATAATGTTTAGGCCGGAACAGGATAATTTTTATATATCTAATATTTTTTCGGGTGGTATGTTAAAAGTACACGGAGAGAAATGTATAGTAAATTTTAGATAGTAAAAAAAATAAAGTAAAATTTACTTTAACAAATTTTTGGGGTAACAATATTATATATTCGTCAATACAATATTAAGATTGTAATACAAAATACTATTTTTTTATTATAATAATATAATATACAATTTTATTAAAGATTACAACACCAATATTACTGAATCATAAATGTATAATATATATTTTAATTTTTAATATCTTCGTATAGTAAATTGATTTTACTATCTACAAATAGTAATATTTACTATATGATTTAATCAAATGTAAGGTGTACATCTAATATTATAATATATTACACATTAATAAAAAATATAGTAAAAATAAAGATACTTTTATGTTTAAGGTAAATAAACAATAATATACAATATAGTAACTCATGACATTTTAAACATTCAATTTTCTTAGTTTCTTTAATACTATCTTGACCAATTACTGGTAATACTTATAAGAAAGAATTGAACCTACTTGGTTGCATAGTATGTACCGATTGCGGCAAAGGCCACGTCGCAACGCGTCGTTAGACGGTGTGGATCACGTGATGTTCTTACATCTCGCCTCTGTTGGCTTACCAACCATGTTATATAAGCTCAGGTATTTCTTTGTTTTGGGTGTGTTCCACTACTACAAGTTGCTCGACAGTGTCGTGTCGACACTGATGATACACAATATAGGTCAAAACACCTGTCTGTCGGTATTTGAAGTTGATGGAACGCACTCAAGACAAAAAGCTTTGGCGAGGTGTAGGTTCAATTCTTTCTCATAACATTTTTGTATATTTTGTATAAAAATATTTTATATTTAAAATGGCAACATAATATTTTAAAATTTACTATACTTATTATTAATGGAAATAATTTAATTATAATAAGAATTAAAAATAAAATTGGTTAAGAATAATATTTTACCTTAAAGTTTAACATACATGGATATTTAAAAATTACTAAATATGCATGGTATCTGGCAATATCCCAAATAGTAATATAAATTATGGTAAAGGGTATTATAATTATGGTAATCAGCATGATACTTTTCTCTCCGTGTAGAAGCCAAGAGTCGCATGAATTTTACCCCTTATATTATTTTCAGATACAAACCCCCAGAATGCATTTTAACAGCTGGTCAATATGGGTCAAAGGTGGACATTTGGGCCCTTGGTTGTGTTTTCTACGAACTATTAAAACAAAAACAGCTGTTTAGAGGCCATAGTGATATTGAACAATTGGACAGGATTCAAAGCATTCTAGGTATTCAGGTTTTCGCAAAATTCTAAGCCAAAAGTTTTTTCTAGACCTGTGTATGTAATTATAATATACAGGGTGTTATGTAATTAATGTTATATATTAAAATACTGAATACCTTTTGACATAAGGAATAAAGGAAAAATATTTAAAAAAACATTTTTCCAAATATAAAGAAAAAATATGCATTAGAAGTTTTTTATATTTTTTGTGATACGCCACTGGTTACACACTTGTTTATCTCTGCACACCTGTATTTTGTGAGTACATAGATACCAACCAACAAAGTAGCTATGCGTTGCCAGATGTAAAAAATTGTTACTAAAAATTTTTCTTGCAAAAAATAAATAAAAACTCAATAAATACAAAAGTTTTATGCCCTTAAAGCTCTAATACCCTTATGTATTTATTTACTGATCCAGCTATTAGCTTAAGCAATGATTAGAAAATATGGTACCTTTGAAATTTGAAATCCATAACCACAAAATTAATTTTTTCATCAGTTTTTTTCTCTGTTTACTCAGATGAAATTGGGACCAGTTCACAGGTTAAACTTTAAACATTTAATTTGTGTAAATAAATCCAAAAGCACTTCCCTTAGTTAAGATATTTACAATTTGAAAACATAACCTAAATTTTAAAAGAAATGCACTAGATTCTGTCATAAAAGTTGGCAGATTTTGTTTGAATTTACCTTCAGAACAAAAATGAAATAACCAACAATTAATAAAAACGCCACACTGACAATTTGCATTGTTAATTTTGTCATTTTTGTAATTAAGCTAAATTTAAACAATGCTTGGCAACTTTTTTGAAAGATTTTGGAAACAGTTGTTACCAACCATAACATAATAAATCCACCAGATTAACCTAAAGTTCCTAGTCGATCAGTGGCGTACTTTTTGGTAGGATAAAGGTTATTATAAATTATTTTTAGACTTTGGAATTTGGAAAAAAAAAGTTTCAGGTGCTTCTTTAAGGACCCTAAGGAACAACCCATTTTAATATATAACATTAATTACATAACACCCTGTAATTTCAGGTACACCTAGGTCAATTTTAAGTTTAAAAAACAAAAACTCTGTCGAGCCGGTTTTCAAAAATCGGGCGGGGATTGGATTGGACCAACTATTAGGTGAAGTCAGCCTAAGAGGCAGACATTTGTTGAAAGCAATGTTGCAATACGAACCTGAACAGAGAATAAATGCGAAAAGGCTCTTAAAACACCCATATTTCACGGAACCCATACAAGAAAAATACAAGGGTCGTTGCGAACCAGAGTCGTGGACAAAAAATAAAAACATTGTCAAAAAAATTTATAAATGTTAAATAAATATTATAATATTATGCCATTACAATTTTGTTTTTTATGAGTGAAATTTTTTGTTTGCCTTATATTGCCAATAATTTTCTAGGGTAATTTGGGTGCTTTGATTGGTTTCAATTTGCTCAAAATAATCTCTCTAAAAATAAATTAGTCAAAAATGACTAATTTGATAGTTATAAGTGGCTGCTTTTTCATTTGTACCATGGTTAACCATGGAATACCATGGTATCGAAAAATTTAAAAGCCAATTCTTATGCAAAATTGTCTCCTGAATTCGAAAATACCGTCAAAAATTATGAAAGTGGACAGTTTTTGAGATGTAGTCAATTCCATATTAAATGGAAAATTGACTATATCTCCAAAACTGTTCTACCTTTTTAACTATGATAAAATTTTCGGATTTAGGGGACAATTTTACATAAGAATTGGCTGTTAAATTTTGGGATACCATGGTAGTCCATGGGTAACCATGGTACAAGTGAAAAACCAGCCACTAATAACTATTAAATTAGTCATTTTTGACCAATTCATTTTATGAGACTTATTGAATATTTGAGCTCTTAATATAGTACTTTCGTAGCAATGATTTTTCGAATTTTAACCATATATTTTTTTTTACTTTTTTGTTAATTTTTTTTGGCGTAAAAAGTGAAAAATACGTTTTTTTCTAACCCTGCGGAAAAAATTATTTCAAATTTGTAATGTCTTTCTTTAAGATAAAAATTTTTGACACAGTATTGTAGGAATTCAAATATTGTCAACAATACATTTAAAGAATATTTTATATTTTATATATAAATTGTTTACTGTATTAACTAAGGATGTTATGGATTGCTATAAAGCAATACAATGTTCTGGTTATTCAATATTTAAAAAAAAACAAGTATATAAGTTGTATAAAACGCTAATGGGACATGCGAAAATGTGTGTTTCACAAGTTTCAAAATTAAAAAAAATTTATTCTGAAATAACTAAACAAACATTTTCTGAAAGAGTTTATTAAGGGCTTGTTAGGCTTTCACTTGGTTTTTAAATCAATAAGATCCGATAATAACAAAGTTATTGGAATTCAAACTTACGGACAGCGGAAGGCGGGTGTTTTTTGAAAACGACCCATTTGTGTCCTCCTAAAATAGTAAATCACAAAATATATCTACAAATTCATGGCAACATAATATTATATAAAATACATTATATAATACCCGTTTTTGTTTTTTACCGTTGTGGAGGCTTTCTTAATCAACGCTTTTAATAATGCATAACGCTTTTTGAATTTGGACGACTTATTTGTTTGATGATTTTTACTGAATTGAAATGTTTACAATTTTTACGTAAATCATTACTAAAATGTGTATTTATTGTATCTAATACAGAGACTGTATACAATTTATTTCTTTATTCGGATTTTCAATTTCAGAAAATAAGTCAAAAAAGTATAAAATGCATATCTTTACAAACTTATTAAATTATGTCATCATATAGGGTATTTTTAAATGAATGATATCACGAAAACGAAGCAGTAATGTTAAGTTAGTAAGTTTATTTTTATATCTTCCAATGAATTATTTTTAAATTTTGCTCCGATTAATCAAAGAAAACCAATTTGTTGTTCTCAAAGTCCATGAAATGTGAAAAATAAATCCCCTAATGTTGACCTATTGGCCAGTCAACTGGTTAAGTCGTCCCAAATCTGTTTCCTTCTGAAAAGAAAAGAAAATAAAAGCATTGCACTGCTTTAAAGATAATAAAAAACAATCAACTCAATGTTCAATGAACTTACATTTTAATAAAAACAATAATACTACACTTAAAATAACTTATTTTGGCTATAACTACATAGTAAAAAAAAACCAAAAAACTGACATAGTAAGCCTTGTATTTGGTAAAAATATTGCGCTCTAAAAATACAGTTTATCAAGATCTACACTTTAAAACAAATCCGGTTAAAATCGCACAATAAATAAAAATTTTACAGGGGTGAGACTTAAAATTAACAAACAATTAATTTTATAGTTATTTTTAGTTTCACATCCGTTTTACAAGTTTAACAAATATTATTCTTTGACGAAGCCATAAAAATTTATGCATATAATTAAACAAAAAGATTTTTACTTCGATTGTGAATTCCACTTAATGAAACGGCTTTTTACCAATCTTTTATTATCCTGGTGTATACTTTTATATTTTAAAAACTTTAGAGGGGTGATTCTCCCATGTTTTTAGACGGTTCGAAAGCCGATTCCAAATAGGATTCTTAAAAGGTTACGAAACTGTACCATTGTTTTGGTGGAATTACCATCTTTTGTTCGCAAACATTTCGAAACATTTTCGCAACGAGAGTTCATTGATGAAGGTTTGGAATTCACGTCATTACGAACGTCAGTAAATTATTGGTAACCGCTTAAATAATAATTACCACCATTGAGTGTATACAAGTTTAAAGCAAATCACAGGTCTATTTTTAGTTTTGTTAAATTAACTGATATTTTTTAGTTTCGACTATTTTAATATTCTTTTTAAAAACGAGCAATGCTCGATTAGTATGGTTCTAAAAAAGATATCAAATATTTCCCAAAACCGTTTCTAGTGTATGTGGTAGGAATCAGTGTGACCACAAAAATAACCTTCACTAATCAACCCTTGGGGATTCGCAATACTCTTTTTGTGCTACTTCATTGGAAAGCTATTGAAAATTGCCATTTAACAGCACATAATAATAATTTAATAGTTTAATAGTTTAATTTTTGAAAAATACCCAAAACAATTGTTATGATTATTTGTTTCAATTTCTCGTTATAAATATCAAACTAAACCATTAAATATCAAATGAAACCATTTTGTTGTCGTAAAAATATAAGTAAAAAAACTGGAGAACATAAAATAATTCTAACAAAAGTATAATAAACTAAAAAAGCATAAATAAACAAATTGTTCAGCAATAATCAAAACACTTTAATTTTTGATTTCTAAATTAAATTTCTTAAAATCAAAATAAGGTTTCTTTGCACTTTTTTAAATTAATTTTTAACCTGAGCCCCGAAAAAAAAATAAAAAGAATCCTAAAAAAAATGTGTCCACCGATTTTTACTACTATACTCCAATATTATAAAAATCGGTGTGTGAACTCTGTCAAAGGTAGACTTTGAAATAAACAAAAATTTAAAAAAAAATCATGAATTTTCAAAAAATGTCGAAAAGAGGATCAGCTAGGATTTTGGTAAATATCATTTTTAAGTCACCAAAGGGTCCCGAACAAGAAACTGCAATTAGTTTTTGGCGGCATTTTTATGTGACTTAAACTTCGTTCAGGCACACCGTGACCTGTAAGTATATATAGATTTAGATGTATTGTATTTTATTATTTTAATTATACACACGTCTGTACCTATTTATCTGTAACTTACTTCCTATACATATTATTATACTTTATACAACTTTGTATTTTATAGCAATGCTGATAAATATAATATATTATATTATTATTACTATTATATTTAAATAGTGTTTAGGGCTCAGTTTCAAAATAAATAGTGCCTTCTGGAATTTTAGAAGGATCTTTAAAAGACTCAAAAAGTAAGAAAAAAATTGGTTTTTATTATTGCGTTTTGAATTTTTTTCAGACAATTTCTCAGTCAGGGGTAAATAATAGGTAGATTTATAGGGTATTTTTTTATCCTCGTCAAAAATACTATCCGATGACAAAATAAAAAGGGGATATTACCGAAAAAAAATTCATTGCATTGCATAAGCAAAAATTAAAGAACTAGAAAACAAAAAAAAAAAGATTGAGAAAAGGGGGTATAGGTTCATGTAGGCAGGTTATGGCCAAAAAAACAAAAAAAAATCAGTAAAGTGGGTCTTTCGTAAGGGATTGAACCCTTACGACCCCAAACATTTCTTAATAAAAAAAATGATTAAACTTCTGGAGCTATTCCCAAAGTTTCAGATTTTTAAATTAATTTTTAGCCTGAGCCCCGACCACTTAAAAAAAAACAGAAAAAATCCTAAAAAAGTGTGAAAAAATTATATTATTTTTTTCAAACAAGGTTTTTTCTTACTTTTTGACTCTTCTAAAGGTAATCCCAAAGTTTCAGATTTTTAAATTAATTTTTAACCTGAGCTTCGAATTCTTAAAATTAAACAAAAAATCCTACAAAAGTGTGAAAAAATCATTTTTTCAAACGAGTTTTTTTCAGTTTTTTACCCTTGTGAAAGTTAATTCAAAGTTTCAGATTTTTAAACTTTCGCGTAGCATCTTTTTTTATAGATTTGATTCTTAGATCTTCGCTTAACTTTTTATAATCCAAAAAGTCATCATAATTTAATTGGTAAACCTTATAAGGGTTGTTTTGCCTTGCCAACCGAAATACTGGTACTAATTGACTTGGAGTGAACAAATCTCCAGCTTTTTTAATAGCGTGTGTAATTGCACTATGGGCAGAGTCTCCTTCACTCTGCCCATGGTTAGGCGAAAAAAATCTAAGACTTATTTCCGCCAGGTGTTTTGATTGCAAAACCGTATATAAAAGAGCAGTTGCCATAATCGAATTTTTATTTTGCCCGCCACAGCCATCTGAAAACAATTGGGCAGAAGAAACATATTTTTCTTCATCGTATTTTTTTAAGATCATTATAACCGCGGTGGCAATTTCAGAAGATCCGCGGCCACTAGAACATTCATCCCAAGTCAGACAATAACAGTCACGGTTGGCTAAGTCATAAATCGTAAAGTTAAAAACAGACAACCTACGTTTATAAAAAATGGCATTGTCATTAGAAATAGGCAAAGATATCACCTGTTGCAAATCGAAACAAGCACAAAACATTTTTGGATCATTTTTAGCAGCACTTTTAAAATTGTCTTTTAGTTTACGGACTGCTTCTTTCTCCACTATGTGTTTATCGTAAATGTCTTTTATTTTTGTTTTTTCTTCTTCACTTCCTTCGTGAAAAACTCTGCAAACACCACACTGGTCTTTTTTAGGCTTATGGAATGACAAATTCATTTTT